CGTCCCGAAGGGGGCATCTTTTCAAGGAGTGAACCTGCAGACGGTGTCAGGCATCCCCGTGAGTAAAACCGTTTATTTTCAATAAATATGAATACTACTAACGAATATTTTTCATTCTAATAATAGCTTAGTTTTTGTAACTCATACACATCACTTATTACTAATTGTTAAAAACCTACAAACTTAATCCCTGCAGATTTTCTTGTTTTTATTTTTTGTTATGAAATCAATAACTAGAAGTAAATAATTTGTTCTACAATCTATATTATTACACGGGCTTTCCTCTTGGCTTACTGTAACCAACACAAAAACCTTTTAAATATGTAAACCCCATGTCATTATGTCTTCTAATCACAATTGCCAACGTTAATTTTTGCAGGATAAAAATGAAGAAGAAAAATTAAGAATTAAAAAGAACAAATATTATATACATCTTTTTATCTAACTTGTTTAGAATTGATTTAGCCTTGATAGTTAACTAAGGTTACCTTTTTTTTGTTTTCGAAAAGTGACTAGATCGGGTGTTTAGATGTTATCATAAAAATCTATTCAGTTCTTCAAAGATTATCAGTCAAAGGATTTTTTAATATTCAAAAAAATATCTTAATCTATTTTAAATGTATATTTAGTGATGATCCCTAAAACGAACACTCAATGATGTAGACAGCTGAAGGCCAAGTTGTCAGAAAAGACAACTCCCGCAATAGGAATAAATCCTGTGTCGCGGAGGACTTTACAAACATACATGAAACGGACACAAAGTACACCCAGACTCAGAACAACAATTTGTGGATCACACAAAGTGTTGTTCCATGTGGGGTTTGAACCCACAACACTCGGCGTAATAGGAAGCGGCGTGGCGACCGCTTAAAAACTACGCCATCCGTGCAGTCAGATATAAGCTCCATAAGTGCATACATCATCTACACAGGTTGTGCAGCATCTTAATCTTATACATTATTTGTCTTAGAGGTAAGTACTTAAACTAAATCAGTCTGATTCGAATCCATCGAATGGTGAGTTTTTCATTTTTTTTAATCAGAGTTCACATTTTTGTGTTGTGCTATATTCACTAACAGGTCATGGCGTAGAGGCAACGGTAACGATTGTTGAGACTCATTATAAAAAACAAGGTATTCTCCCTAACTCGGCAATTAAACACGGACACAAAAACATATTAAACTAAACCCGGGTCATATGTACAACTGGTTGTATTCGGTAAATGAACCCAATTACGAAATGTGTGCAGAAGCAAGTATACGAGCCACACCAATACTCTAGAAATGAGGTTTATATAAAATTATGATTATTTATCTTTCTAAGGAGAGGCCTATGTCCAGCAGTGGACTGTTATAGGCTGTTGATGTTGATATACTATTGATTTAAAGGAAAAATATAATACAGAATATATCTAATGTATTAGAATATTGATTACCTGAGATCTGTTATGTCCCTTAGCATCCCTGTTGCAACGTTGGTAGATTGTGCAGTGTAGCAGTTAAAACAACACAAAAATATCAACCTGAAGCGTGTTGATAACCCAGTCAATGGAATTATCAATGGTGTAGATGTTTTACATTAATTGTTTTACAATCCAAGGAGAGTTGACGAATATGAACCAAGTCTGTATAGCGACAGTAACATTTACCACACTTTACAGGTACATTTTAGCTTCTAAAATATTTTTTGACGTGACAACGTCTTATAATTCGATAGAGCCGGCTGCACGCACGAAAAAACATGACTCATGCGGCGTTACCTCGCTCTGAGGCGTTCCATTTAAGGCGTGAAGTGCAAGCGAGAGCGCGGAACGAGTGACAAAGAGGCACAATCGGCCTCAGCGTTCGGCAGCGTTCGACATCTGTCTCTCTCAAGTAGGAACTTGAGTGAGCGATGCGTCCGCGTGGACAGCTGCTACTCGTATACAATAATACATTTTTGAAAAATGCAACCATTCCATCAGTATTTTCTTATGACGTTGTCACGTTCAACTATCGTCAGTAAACCGACTTTACAGACAACCGATTTTTTTTTGTTACGAAAGTCTTGGTACTCGATTGATCCCTAAATTCTTGGCATATGTGTGTTACACTATATGCTAAACACACATGCTTCTAGATTGTTTTGTAAATTTTTACTTCCTATTATTCTATTACTTACTGGTTTTAATCACGTCGGATTCCTATTTTCTAAAATATTTAGTAATCAGCATACTATAGAATATCTAATTTAAAAGAATTAAGCAGTTCGTGGCTAAGTGGTAACCGAGTAAGTTTGTACATTGGCAAAGTTAAGCAGTAGGAGTCAGGTCAGTTCAAGGATGGGTGACCATTGGGACCCCTTCGTGCTTGGGAGAGCATGTTAAGCCCTCGGACTCAGTTTCCATACGAACATCTGTGGCAATCGTTACAAGAAGTGGTAGCCCTAAAAAGTCTGCCAACAATCTTTCTACAAAACTTCGATATCGCCTAGCACGAGTACTTGGGTTGTGGAGAAACAATAATTTCTTTGAACGTGATTGGTCCGGGGCTTGGTTGATGCGTCACTATTTTCTTAACGCGAAAGGGCTATAGTTCTATTATTTCCTTTCAAATGAGACAAACTATTTGAATCTTTAAAATATTCAAGCACCTAGCACATTTAAATTTGAATATGCAAATATAGTGATATCTGCTTAATACGATAACGCTTAACACGATTTTCAGTACAATACGATATTTTACTTCAGTCAGTCTCTGTTGAGGCGTGTTTTCTACTGTTCATACATTCAATCACGCTTAATGTTATTCATAACCCAAAAAACCCGACCTGTATATGCGTGTTACCACAATCCAATTAAAAATCTTTCAGAAGATATGAATGAGACTCAAAAAACAGACCACAATATGGCGGATAAGTTATTTAGAACGAAAATCATTTTCTTTACCTATCTCTATCAATTCTCCTTGGAAAGTATAAACATAGATTACAAACTATAAAATACACTTACACTACATCCTTTAAATAATAAGTCTTTTGCTACAGACTCAACATTTACACGGATATATTACACACCCGTTTATATCCTTACATTATAGACTTGATTCTAGAGGATTAGATACTACGACAGTCGTACACCGTAACAACTCAGTCATAGGTTTATATATCTTAAAATAATGCTACTTAAAAGATTATAAGAGAGAGAGTAAGAATAGGTTAAAAATACAACTCTCTTTATGTTGTGGTATGCGCAATCGAGCAGACTTCATACCTAGAAATTACAATATAAATATTTTAAAGTGTTATTAAAAGTAACTTAAGTCTACAAAATGATTAGTATTAAATGTGTACTATATATTTAGTCTCTTTTACCAGACTTACGTTAATATAAAGCTAGCTTAACTTATTACATCTAATTTATACTAAATGAACAATAAATCGATAGATAACATGACAGGTTCTCATGAAGTTACTAGGGATACAAGATAAATCAGTAAACTCAGAAATAAATGAATCCTTTTACGAGTATGGAGATAGATAAAATGAAATTAATCAGTGACAGTCGCGAGCTGACTGATTTAAGAAATAAACAAAATATGTTGCTGACACGGTACAAAGTTCTGCGTGATACGAGATACGTAAAACGTGGCTCGTACAACGTTACTATTTAAAAATACACAAAGCGTTCTTTTCTTAAAGCAAATAAAGTATTGGTTTTAGCTCGATAAATTACACACATACTAAACACTTTACAATGTTATTAACAATTTTTTTTAATAATTTTGCCGCCACACATTTCACATTCTAAAATAAACCTTAAGACTAGTGAATGGTCACTTGTTTTTGTTTGTTTTTTTCTTGTTTTAAAAAAGACAACTTCCACATTAGGAATAAATCCTGTGTCGCGGGGGACTTTACAAACATACATGAAACGGGCACAAAGAACACCCAGACTCAGAACAACAATTTGTGGGTCACACAAAGTGTCTGTCTTGTGCAGCATCTTAATCTTATACATTATTTATCTAATGTAGTAGGAAGCGGCGTGGCGACCGCTTAAACCACTACGCCATCCGTGCAGTCACTAGTCTTAAGGTTTATTTTAGAATATTTTAAAACCAATAATAAACAATAACAATAAGCTAATATTAACTTCTTAACTTAACAAGCCTTGCTAACATAACCATACAATAACAATTACTAATTAAAAAATTCATCTAATCGGTTGCTTTCTATTTACATTAATTTTACTTCACCTTTACGCATACAGGCGGACATTTCAAAGTTATTAGAATTTCTTGATACGCCTTACAGATTTTTTTTAATTGTTAATAATAGTAATTTTACAGATCCCATACGCAGTCTTCAGTTCCCAAATTAGGGAACCAGACTGCTAATAAACATACTTATATATTATTAAATATGTGAACATTACAGATTAATTACACCAGACTTAGAACAAACAGTCATGCTCATCACATAATTATAATAACATGTCCCGTGTTGGAATCGAACGACATCTGGCTCAGAAGGATTACTGACCACTGACCAATAGGACACTCAATAATTGTTTTGTAATGATTAAGACATGGCTTACTAATACATCACAATTGAACTGGTAAGTCAACATTACAAAACACATCTCCGTGAACTATAGCTCTACTCCTACCAGACAAAGTGTGATGTTACATAACCTATAACTTCGCTTAATGTATACTCTACCTTGGTCTTGCAGTAGTCTTAGTAATTCCAGAAGTATTTAAACAAATAATAAACTTTATACACTTAAAACTAATATTATTTTATTGCTCCTACTAGTAAAACCGCTGAAAGGTACAAGACGACCGTCATTTGTGATACGCGATCAAAATAAGTTTCTTTGTTATGACAAATAGATGTCTCTTTACTCAATTATTTAAATACAGTTAATTTATTAGTATTTTAATTTTCAAATACTTTTATATTAACTATAAGTTACAGCTACACTTACAGCCTAACGATGTAATCTACGTGAACTAAAGTTAACCTTCAACCATGATGTTGCGTGTGGTGTCGACGCACTCGTAGCCGTACTTGATGATGAAGTGGAACCGGGAGTCGGAGACCAGCTCCGCCAGCTCTGGAGCAGTGAGGATATCCTCGACGGGTGGAAGTAAAAGTTCTAAGTCACCGCCTGAAACAAAATTGTATTTATTTTTCTTTATCTGGAACGATCAACTCGAAAACACGAATGATTTATTCCTGTTTTAGCAAAGTAAATCTTTAATTCTTATATTTTATATTACAAAAAGACTACTGTTGCTTAGTAAATTACGTTAACAGCGTTGATATTGGGAATCGCCATACTCATTCCTATCAACAAATGTAACAAGTAAAATTTTAACAAAAAAACCGACTTCAATGGTTTTCTCATGGATTCCATGGTCAGAACTAGACCAAATTCGGTTCAAAATCCACAAACCACATCAAAATCGGTTTACCCCGTCGAAAGTTATGAGGTAACAAACATAAAAAAAAAAATACAGTCGAATTGAGAACCTCCTCCTTTTTTGAAGTCGGTTAAAAAGGCAAAAATACAATCGTAAAAATCTTAATTAGGGTGATTGAGGGTGTGTCTACTATAAAACATTTCTCTTAAAAAAAAAAGTTGAAATAACGCACGCAAGTACGCACGTACATAAGTATGCACGATCACAAGCACGCACGTATACGCAGTTTCATGCATAGAATAACTAAACTATGAATTTAATCATCATATTTGCCGATAATTATATAAAAAGAATATATAATTTTAAGACAGCTCACCCATAATATGCACAAGATCAATGAGTCTGAAGAACATTTTAGAGTTCAGTTCATCATTGGGCGAGTCCACGCGACAATTGCTCCAGTCGTCGCGACAGATACACGCGCACCAAACCTGCGATATTTCCACATTTGCGATTAAGAATATTATACAATTGCATAAAATGTGCAATATATATGTTGGTGTTACCCTAAGACGCAGATCATCTCGACGTTCCATGTCTTGGATAAAATCGGTGAGATCAAGTGCCTTCTTATAGTCATATTCTGTCAATGAGCTACTGTCCGACTCTATGTACATCTGAAATAAATAAAAATGTTTGAGATTTCAATATTACAAAAATAAGTTATGAGTAACCAATAATGTATAGACATAATAATAAAAATAATAATAATAATATAATATTCTACCACATACACACAACGCCATCTAGTCCCAAACTAAGCAGAGCTTGTACTATGGGTATTAGACAACTGATATAAATATATATATACTTGTTTTTTTGTAAATACATGCATATTATACATAGAAACACCCAGACCAAATCAAACATCCAATGTTCATGCACACAAATGTTTGACTTGAGCGGGAATCGAACCCGCGACCTTTGGAATAGCAGTCCGTTACACAAACCACTACGCCATCCGGTCGTCAAATGACTTGGATGTTTGTTATAATCTTACATTTAATTACAAAAAGGCAAGATTAGCCCTAAACAATGTACAGCTATCGACGCAATCTCGTTAATGTGACGTATTTGCATCTAGGAACAAGTGCCCTATGGAATAGACATAGGACAAAATCACAGTGAACTGTGAATGACCGGTGATTTATCATTCGTTTTTTTCGTACATAGTTTAGGGTTGCTGTTGTTTTCAGACGATGCATAAAGACCCGTGTCCGTGTGGTGACGGATTAAGAATACGGAGTGTCACCAACCCTATTCATCCCGTGGGTGTCGTAAGAGGCGACTAAGGGAACTAACTACGCAGGACAACAGCACTGCAAAGAGAAGGAAAACTTGAAACAAACCCTATACCAAACCTCTTTTCTAAAGAGAGGCCTATGTCCAGCAGTGGACTATTAAAGGCTGTTGCTGCTGCTGCTGCTGATAAAGACCCCATTTCACAGTAAATCTAGTAATTATTTTATTATATATAACTATCATTCCCTACATAATAATACTAGATTTACTATTAAATAGCCTTTAACCTACTAACCTAGCAACCCTAACCTAAACCACAGTTCACTGTGATTTTGTCTCATGTCTACTATGGCAATATTCTTTTTTTTTTTTTTTTTTAAAGACAACGCCCGCATTAGGAATAAATCCTGTGTCGCGGGGGACTTTACAAACATACATGAAACGGACACAAAGAACACCCAGACTCAGAACAACAATTTGTGGATCACACAAAGTGTTGTCCCATGTGGGGTTTGAACCCACAACACTCGGCGCAGTAGGAAGCGGCGTGGCGACCGCTTAAACCACTGCGCCATCCGTGCAGTCAATATCCTTCATTCTTTATTCTCCAAGAACAGATTGTGCATAATGTTTTATTAATAGTTACTTATTTTTGTAGTTATGTATGCGTTAATGTTAAAAATAAAATAAAAGTAAGATAGTACAATACCTGGACTAGTTCTTCTGGCGGCAGCACTTTGGTATCATCCTCGTCTAGCCCGTGATGTATTTTGATGTCTCGCGGTAGCGACGTGTGTAGTTCTGCAAGTGACAGTCGCGACTCCAGTTTTTGCCAAATCTCTGATGTTTGAACATCGGTTTCGTCCGATGCTACCAGGCAAAGTTTGGCCAGAGATGCCATAGTCTGAAAAAAAATTGATTTTGATAGGGCCTTGTAGTCTTCAGATCGTAACAGGATCTATTATCTTTGTCAAATCGTCCTGTCTTCTTTCTTTTTTTTTAAAAGACAACGAACGAATATATCTTGTGTCGCGGGGGAGGAAACGGACACAAAGAACACTCAGGCCTGTATTTTAAAACGACTTAAGTATTAGTTCAGATCAAAACTTAATCGTCGATCTTATTATAGCATTTTATGTTTTACTCAGTTTAAACTACTCTTAAGCATTGATTTGAACTTACAGTCTGTTCTTAATTACGTTTCCGCATGATCGACATTATTATTCAGTGTTACGCAGCTAATTATTTAAAATAAAATAGTATACTATTAAACTACTAACAAGTTTGTTGTTCGCTCAAAATAAATTTTAATAAACATTAAAATAAAAATGATTATTTGTTGAATTGTGAAACAATGTTTTTATTTAAATATTTCTAACTTACGAGAAGGATATTGTGTTAGGTATATTATATATTATTATTTATAATGTAAGCCAAAGGTTGTTGTGATTTTAATTTAACGAAGTATAGTGTGTGTACACTGTGAATTTCAGTGAATTGAATATGAACTCAGGTAAATAAAAGTGAACTGATTATTTATGACAAGTAATTATTTCGTGAATACAGAACCTAAAGTCTTAATTGTCTAGAAACAAATCATCTTAAAACACTTATATTACTCTTAAAATGTCTTAGAAATCTATGTTCGAGACTAGTTTCAGCTTGTCTCATGTTAACAAAGATAAATAATAATATCTGTTAAAATTTGTACTTGGGTAAAGATTTCGACAAACATTGTTCTAAAATAAGCTATCATTCATTCGGTTGTGGATCGGTGAATATTGTTTTCAGTCTCGTTCAACGATAGAATCTTTACTTAAAGTTAGTTTTAAGACTAGATTCATGACCGAGACACCTTTTAAAGTACGGGTCTTAGACTCAGAAAAACGAGTGGATCAGACAATATGTCCCATGTGGGGATCGATAGTCGAATCAAGTGTCAGCTATAGGCGCGCGCAATATGCGTGGTGTGCACCGACCGTCATCCTGCCGAGCGAGTCGTGCTCGTTGCGCGCGAGGTGCGCGAGCGTGGCGGCGGCGCGGAGGTGGTGCGCGTGCTGCAGCTGGTGCAGCGCCAGCAGCGGCGCGCGGGGGGGGGCGGCGCCGAGCCACTCGCGCAGCCGCCCCGCCCAGCGCACGCCCACCACCCGCACCAGCGCCGCGCGCAGCCGCCCCGACCGCTCCGCCAGCCACGCGAACGTCGTCTCCGCCATGCCCTGGGCCACACCACCAAAACTCACTTATCACGATGCTACACTCGCTTCGAAACGTTCGATACTTACATATTTCTAATTCAGTATCGATACATTTTTTTATAGGATAAACAAACAATATCACAATAACAAACGGTTATAATAATTTAAAACTATATGTGACAAAACACCGTTTACCACGAGTATATTTTACGAATATAAATAAAAATACTAGTGACCGTAGATCGTTTACAGACAAAACCGTACCGTTGCGGAAGAATCTTCTTATGCAATAATGAATAAATATTATTATGCACCGTCCCCTCCATAAATAAGCTTCAATTATGTGGAAAAAATAATAATAATAAATAATTAACAACATCTCAGTCCATGTGGTGACGGATCAAGAATACAGAGTGTCACCACCCCTATTCATCTCGTGGGTATCTTAAAAACCAACTAAGGGAGAAAACTACGCAGAACAACAGCACTACAGAGGGAAGAAAAACTTGAAACCAACCCCAACGTAATATAGTAGGCCAAAGCCTCCTTTCTAAGGAGAAGCTTATATCCATTAAAGGCTGTTGATGAGCTACATCTCTTTCTCCATTCCTTTAGGTATTAGTGTTTTCCTAACTGATTTCCATACAGCTAGAAATATAAACTCTGTTAACATTTATGATATAACATGACCAACGGTGTACGTACAGTTACGGCAGTATTTTAATGAAAATAGAGGGAAATATTAAACTACTAGCGATAAAAAATAAAAAAAATTTACCTCAGATGTATATTTATCGATATAAGAAAACAATCGATCGTAGTCATCGTTCTTAATGCACATCTCGATGAGAAGCTCGAAGTCCTTGAATTTCTCAGCGAGGGCTGCGGCGCGTTCCACCTGCCCCTCATCAACTGTAAGGAATGTACTCGTCACGACACATCTAGCAAACAGACCCGACTTCATAAGTGTCGATATACTTATTTATTAATATTAAGCACTTTATTTTGTGTAATTGTGTTATTTTTGAAGATGGTGCTATAGTTTATATAAAATATATGTTTTTTTATGTAACTTTATTATAACCCGGCAATCTCGTGCGCGACCGTCCCGCGGGGTGACAGACCGTGGCGGGGGCGAGGTAACGCGTCATTCTAGCACACGGCTACACACGATTCCCTTCCCCGCTACACCACCCGCTACCCGCTGACATCTTGAGTACCTCGTCCCCGCCACCGTCTGTAACCCCGCAGGACGGTCGCGCACGACGTTGATGGACTATAGTTACAAGTTACAAAATTCTCATACAGCACGATTTACTTGGACATCTTAAACTGAACTATTTAAACGTTTCCAAAAATAGTTTTAATGTTTCACTATATTCTATGATGTTATAGAAATTAAGACGAATGTAGATTCAGAAAGGTCACTGCTAGATTTTGCGAGGCAATTCATAAATTTTGTGATGTTCTATGAGAAAAAGTCGCACTACGAAATATTCTTCGCGATACGGTAGGGAAATATTTTAATGCCGCGATACAGCGAGTAAATAATACGAACCAAAGCTAAGTTAGTACCAATGAAAATTGTTGTTAATTGTGGATCGTGTCCATTGCAAAAGAACCGCGGGCGGTATCGACTCACTGAAGGGCTGTATGACGTCCCTGCGCATGCGCTCGTACAGATGCGCGGTGTGCGAGGAGTGCCGCAGGTGGTCGGCCTCGCTCAGCAGCAGGTCGGCCAGCGCGCCCGCCGCCTCGTACAGCGCCGCGCGCAAGCTCGCCTCGCCGCAGTTCAGCGCGAACCCGCTGTTATACGAGGATAGCTCTATTCACTCAGTGAGACGCGTAGGGCCATGTGCTATCGAGTACTTGTAATAATGGAACGTCCCACAGAAGCGTTCGCAAATTGTATAGTTCATTGACACGGTAAGTATCAAGATGTAATGGATTTAATTGGGACCTTTATTCGTAGCTGCGAATAATAGTTTCTCTAAAAGCGTAACTAAACCTAAGAAATGGTTCCACGAAATATATACCGCGGCGGGCGGGGCGTAAAATATGCACCAGCGCGGAGACTCATATTGAGCGGTTGTATTACGGGAAGTTTGGATTGTGCTTATTATTGTGCCGTCATGTGCCGTGAAATGGTGTAGAAACCATTGGGATAAAATGAATAACACTGGAATCACCTTTGATAAGTAAGTAAATAAACATTTTGCTATCCCATACTTAACAACTCTGGCAAGTTTTATACAACATGTAAGATTGTGTTTTCTATACAGTATCCGTCTCATACTTCTCACATATTAAGGATTATATTATGCAAAATTTTAATATATTTCATTACTACAGATCTACTATACACAACACGCTTCAAGGATGGTTTTTATCTATTTTTTGTGACCAAAATGTGCCACAGCGAAGCGTGGCACGGTACAACTAGTTGAACATTTTTTTATTATGACTACTATAACTTTATACTTGAGAACAGAACAGAATGGTTAACTTTGATGCATATACAGTACTCAGAATATAAAGGGTGTAAGGGACGTCGTAACGAATGCTGAAATAGTGTATTCAGACCATCATTCTGAGTCGAAAATCATTAAAATTTTCTGCCGGAAAATTTAACTTTATATGCAATCGCTTTTCAAAGGTTAAGGTCATTCCCCGTAGGTATCGCACAAAAGTAATAACTACGTCTGTTTTCCGTGCAAACAGTCTATGCACACTAACACAAGTTGGCGGCCGAAGGGGAGACTTTAAAAAGGAGGAAGGGATGGAAAGAATTAATTATATTGCAGTTTATGACCGTGTGCGGTATTTTTTTTTAATCGGTAAAATGTTCTGTTTAATCATTGTCACTTTACACTCTATTTTTCATAATTTTTAACCAAAAATATGGAAAAATAAGAAAAAAAACCGACAGAAAATTCCAATGATTTTCGACTCGACTATAACGTACCATCGACTACAGAAGTTTCATGACTAATAAAAATTTGTAGTAATTCAATGAAGAAATAAACACGTAAACAAGCTTATTTAGCGCCGCCCGCCTCAAAGGACAGTCGTGACCTTGATGCAACCAATCGCGTGCAAGTCTTGCCTATGAGCGAGTGTAAGTGTTACGTTGTACTGCTGTTAGTTTGTGTGTGGAATGGAACCAAAGTCAAAGCGATAATTATACTAGGGGATTGAGTACCAGGGCTTTCCTTTTTAGGGTACCTGGTTCCTCGACTACTGGTACCTGGAGACGGCGTGCGGTTTTTTGGTCGGTTCGAGTTTGACATAATCATCTACTCATTGGTGGTATCCGAGGGTAGTTAAGTATAGAATAAAACAAAAAGAAATCCTTTGATTAAGCGTGTATATAATAAGTGCTCGCTTCGAAAGTATATGTTGCATATTCTACTACATTCGTTAGACATCCAATCAAATTCGTTTCTTTCCACACGAACCGCGGAAGCTGCGCTGGCGCACATTTTACGACTCGCCTACCGCGGCTTATATTTCGCGGAACCATTTTTAGGCTTAGTTACGCTTCTAGAGGAATTATTATTCGTAGAGTTAAATAATAATTTCAACGTTCATAACGCATAGCTTACTATTTTACAGGTATTACTTAAAATAGTTTATAAAACGAAGCGGAGGATACTAACGTGAGGGCCCGCTTGTGCAGGTCGACGAGCGCGGGCAGCAGGGCCCGGGGCCCCAGCGGGGGCGAGTGGGGCGAGTGGGGCGAGGGGGGCGAGGCGGGTGCCGCGCTGCCGTTGGCCTGCCACTGCGCGCGCACCTTGTGCACCGCCTGCATCACGCTCTGTGAACAAGTCGGGTCGTGTAGGAGCGGCGCGGACACGATACAAGTGTGAGGAGATACGCGCGAGCCTCACGGTCAATATGTTGATGGTGGCGGCGTCGTGCAGCGCGCGCGCTCGCGCCGCGTGCTGCGGGGGGGGGGCCCGCGCCAGCGCGCGCAGCACGCGCCACACGCGCGACGCGCGCCGGTAGCACACGTCCACGGGGGACAGCGCGCCCGACGACAGCGCCTCCTCCACCCACTCCTCCTCCTCCCCCTCCGAGCTGCTGCCGTTCACCACCTGCGGCCGAACAAAACGTTACAGACGGTCGTATTCGAACCCATTTTATTTAGATAATTATGTTAAAAGAAAATAATCTACCGATCGCACACATTCGTCTTAAGGCACTGTGGGATCGACGATGAAAAGACTCGACGTAGCTTCCCAAACGCTGCCCAACCCAACCGAATTCTTCTGTTCACCTCGTCCTCGAAGTTGTTTCTACCTAACTGCAATGTCTGTCCGAGGTACACATAATTTTGAACAACTTCGAGAACGGCATCGTGTACCGCAATCGGTTCCGGTAGTACATGTTCGTTGAACATGACCTTGGTTTTATCCAAGTTCATCCGTAGGCCGATGCGTACAGAAGTGTCAGCTAAGTCATTCAGCATTTGCTGTAGGTCCTGCAACGTCTCTGCCATGATGACGATGTCGTCTGCAAATCGCAAGTGAGAGATGTATTAGCAATTGATATTGATGCCACGCCCTTTCCAGTGCAGCGTCTTGAAGATGTCCTCCATTGCATTTGTGAACAATTTCGGGGAAATAACGAGCCCTTGTCTCACTCCTCGATGGAATGGTACGGGCCTTGTTTGCTGATTCTGTACTTGGACGGACATGGTGGCGGTTTCGTAGAGACATCTCATCACTTGGATTTATCGCCAATCTACTTGGCAACGCTGCAGGGACTCCAGAACAGACCAGATCTCGATCGAGTCAAATGCTTTCTTATAGTCCACGAATGCTAGACACAGGGGCTGATTATATTCTTCGGTCTTCTGTATAATCTGCCGCACTGTGTGGATGTGGTCTATGGTGCCATATCCGCGCCGAAACCCATCTTGCTCCGGTGGTTGGAATTCGTCGAGTCTTTGCGCAAGACGGTTCGTGATGACTCTCGAAAACAGCTTGTAGACGTGGCTTAGAAGGGATATGGGTCGGGATGGTCGTTGTAACGCCATCCTCTCCAGGGGCTTTTCCATTTTTCAGCTGTCCAAGAGCCATCTCGATTTCGTCAATGCTAACTTCTGGCAGGTCTTCGGTGTAGTGACGTGTTAATGTGGCTCTAGAGTCCTCAATTTCGGGATCAGGTCGAGATGCATGCGAAGTGTATAACCGGCCATAGAAGCTTTCCACTTCCAAAAGGACTGCCGGTTTCGAAGCAACGACTTCTCCACTTTCTGTGGTCAAGTTTGTCAGGGGGCTTCTTCCAAGAGATTATACGAACACTTTTGACCCCCGATTTTGCTCGATCGCTCTTTCAATTGAAAGAGTATTGGAGCACCGGAGGTCGTGTCGTACGAGTTTACTGATCTCTCGGTTTAGAGTCCGCTTTGCCGACAAAGTGACAGGTGGGTTTTCACGTCCTTTCTTCATCTTACGAACCGCTACTTAAGTTCTTCGATAACCCCCTTCCAGCTTTCCGATAATTAATTCCCGACCAGTCCGGCAAGAAAGCGTTTAGCTGACCCCTTACCCAACTGTCGTTGCTCAAAATATAAAAATCTTAGACGTTAGTTGACCGAAGAACACACTTTAACACTCCATATAAGAGAACGCAACGAACCTCGTTAATGGCAGCGTCTATAAGTTGGCCGTCAGCCCCGTGCTGCAGTTTGCGGAGAGTGGTGGCGATGGCGAGCTGCTCGGCCAACGCGCCCAGCGCGCTCTCCGTGCTCATCACTCCCCCGCCGGACTCTACAGATAAAATACTTCCTTCACTTCTTTTCAAAACATCATAAAATAGTATCAACTGAACGGTTACCGGTTATTTACCATTTGTGACTAAGCCGAGTCTCTGCCATAATCCTACGGCACGAAGGAAGTCTATGAAGAGTGTGAACGCGCGCTGTTTGTCCCGCAGCTGCACCTCTAGCTCCAGCGCGGCGGAACTACCCAGGCTCACGTCTGCGACTCGTCCACCGCGGGGCTTCCACCTAATAAACCACATCATTATCCAATTCAGAAATCCACTCATATTAGAGGTTTACCTTAATGAATCATTGACTCCAATATTTTGAAATGAATTTAGTTATAATAAACGTGTAACATGGTCAAGGGAATCAACCTCGTGTGCTAACACGTGGTCGAACCGGTAATTAAACGATGGAGAGAAAATCTTTTTTTCTTTTTTTTTAAAGACAATTCCCGCATTAAGAATATATCGGACACAAAGAACACCCAGACTCAGAACAACAATTTGTGGATCACACAAAGTGTCGTCCCATGAGGAGTTCGAACCCACAACACTCAGTGTAGTAGTGAGCGGCGTGGCGACCTCTCAAACAACACTACACCATCCATGCAGTCAAATTATACAGTTTATAATAAGACTTTGTAAAAGTTTACAACAATGATTTTCAAGTCTATGGAGATAGGGTTCAGTCAGAGCGGAGTTCAGGAGGGTTTGATCAGGGTGGCGGCCGTGGTAGCTTGAGAACATTTAACTCCAGTTCGGACAGTTTACTCCTCCTTATATACCTGTACCCTGTGCGCGGTGAAACGGTGAGGGTCTCGGTGAGAGAGAGAGAGTGGACGGTGTCGCGTGACAAACGTTCTAATATTATATATTTTAATGGTGCCCAAAAACATAAGGAAGTGTGAAAATATTGTTTGAATGCGATTTTTTTTAAGTAATTAATTATAAATTGAAGTTAAGACGTAAGTACCCCTTACCTGGGGTCTCCGGTGGGCACGTCGTCCAGCATCTCCGTGGCGATGGTGAGCACGGTGCGGTCGAGCACGCTGTCCACGTCGCGCTCGCTGGGCGCGCCCGCGAACAGCTCGGCCACGAGCGCGCGGCACGCCACGGCGTCGCGCCGCACGTGGAACAGGAACGCCGTCTTCAGCTTGCCGCACGCGTCGCGCGTCACCAGGCTCACCTGCCGCACGGAACCGTCAAACCGACACACCGACACACCGACACACTATCGACGTGGAGTGTGCCATCTCCAACAATAAGCAGTATATCGAACATGAAAGACAGATCGGTAAGGCCGTTTAGATATCATTTTATTTAGATAAGGCGTTTTATCATTTAAAATAACTATTGAAATCGAAGTTGTAAAGTATTCAAAGTAATATATAATAACTTGAAAATAGCTTGATATCGAAAGATAGACATAAAAAGGTAACGTCTTTGAACACGAAGACTTCTGATTTTTTTATTAATTATGTGTAACACATATTCAATTTAGACACTACACGATGGCTGGGGCCCGTGAAAGAAAGAAGAAAGAAAGAAACATTTATTTGCACAGAATACAGGTGGTACCAGATTTTACAAAGGTGTATAATGTTCAAGCTATATTCTGCCTGTACTAGGCATGCAAATATTTTCATAGAGACTCAAAACATTAACTAATGATAACTATTAACTAATAAAATTAACAAAATTTCAAAAAAAAAAAGCCGTCTGTATGGATAAGCCGACTCAAAACTCTGGCTTTTTCTTCAAAACCACCCAAACCCACTTATATAGTTCCCTTTAACATTGTACACGAACTTAAAAAACACATCTAGGTTTGTTTCGGCGTTTCTTCCCAGATAGAGTGAGCCTTAGGAAATACCGGAGCCTTCTAGCTATAAAGTCAAACTTGTAAAAATATCTGAAAGGATTTACTTGCAAATCTTGAAATAAATATCCTTCATCATCATTCAAAAATCAGATAAAAATAGCGTTTAAAAAGGATGTTTTATTGAAATCTTTAATAAAACTTCCTTTTTCATACTGGTTAACTTTCATGAATTGTTTTATCTGTTATTATTGCTTAATTTACCACAATTGTAAGATTGGATTGTGAAAGAGACTCACCTCATGTGGATCGATGGCATATAGAGACAAATTGCCTTCGCAAGTATCAGACGGACAAGGTGATCCCATCGGACTCTCGCACATAGAACTGTGGATAAAATATATAAAATAAGGACATAAAAAAACCCTGATGATTAGAAAACGACAAATAATTTTTGAGATAAACATTTTTTTTTTAATTATAGCTAAGAACAGCTTTGATTTAGTCACTTTTAAAAATCAAACAAAACTCCTTCTTTTCCGTCTTATATAAACTGTTAATACTAACGGCGTAGATATCATATTGTCGTTGCACAGGAGAGCCAACACTCCATGCTTGGCGCTGAAGATTAACGGCACCCCCCCACAAATCTCCGCGCCCAGCACCCTGTCCCCCGCCCCGCATATGTCTATGTAGTCCACCTTGTCGTTGGACATTGTCGCTGGAATAAGACATAAGATTTTATGAAGATTTCTCTAGAAATAACAGGAAACCAAACAAAAAGTATATAAGTATTTCTGTGGCAGTAAACCAATTTGGCACAAATGTTTAGGCTCGACCGGAGTGCTATCACGGCCTCACAGAAAACCGAGGGCCGAGTGCTTTAGCGTTGCGATTGGTGGAGATTTCAGTGCGGGCCAATCGCTGCACCGAACGAGGTCACTGTGACGATAGAGTAGAAGTGAAATAAACTCGCAATTGGAAAGCGAGTGAGGTTACTGATCCCTAAAGCCCCCCTGATTCTTAAATAGCGGCAATGCACTTGGCACTGTACATGTACGGTGGTAGTCACTTACCGTCAATAATTATCTTATACAATAATATTTATAAATTCTAATATTATAAATGTGAAAGTGTATCTGTCTGTCTGTTATCTCTTCACACTTAAAATACTGATTTAGATAAAATTTGGTGTAAAGATAGTTTGAGTCCTGGGAAAAGACATGAGATACTTTTTATGCCAGAAATTATCTTTTAGGGGGGGGTGAAAAGGGGGGTAGAAGTTTGTACGGGAAATCAATAACCACTCAACCAATTTAGATGAAATTTGGTATGGAGATAGTTTGAGTTGTGGGGAAGACATAGGCTACTTTTAGCGCGATAACCGCCATATACGCGGGCGGGGCCGCGGGCAAAGCTAGTTACAGATATGATTATAATGTGTATTTCCAGAATCAATCTATCTGTCGTCACACATCCGTCCGTAAGACGATTTAAGTATATATATTGAATGAGTAAAATATGTGGCAATAGTTACTGGAGACGAGCGCGATGTAGTTGGTGGTGTAGAGCATGGCGCGGTGAGCCAGCGGCACGAAGCGCGGCGCCTCCCCCCCCTCGGCCGCCCAGCCCCGCGCCAGCGCCAGTGACGTCACGCGCGGGTGGCTCGGGTCCTCCACGCTGATGTGAGCTGCACAGACACACACACACACGTACACTATCTATTGTCACATTAATGACACACGATCGATACAAATAGATCATATACATGAAAACAATAAATAAATAACCAAATTTAACATAATGATAGTAAATTTGGTCCTTATTTTTAATAAAAGATCCCTAGATTTATAAAGCAGTTTTTTTAGTTCATTTGGACCCTTTACTTGCACTTACATCTACAAAAACTACATTATAAAATGGTTAAAAATGACATCAAATCAGTAAGTCTGAGTTTTGTGCCTATTACTTACTATCAGAAGTTATTATAACAATCTAAATGAAAAGAAAAGTTCAATAGAAACCACAACTGTGGAAGCCATTTATGAAGCTAAGTGTCAATTATTATTAATTTATGTATGTATGGATATATGTGTAATCTTTATGTACTAAAAATGCGATATCCAAGTTACGTAAACTAATCTTACCTATAGCATATCTCATCTCTGGTGAACGGGCAACATTGACGGTAGCGATGAGTAGCAACAGACCGTTGTTTCCACTAGCACGAACGTCCAGAGCCATGATCTCAAGGCTGTTCAGGTCCCCTGAATCATACATTGGCATTTAAAAAAATAAAACAACGCCCTAGCCTTACAGTAATTGCGTATATGTAATCTGTAACATCTGTCTAATGTAATTTTCATGAAACCACTCCTAAAGATTTCATAAAAGCGAGAGGAAAGATATCAAAAAAAGTCATCTCAGTTAATAGCAATCATATTTAAAAGTAAAGTCTGTGAGTATAACATTAATTTAAAAAATATTAAATTGGTTTTTGGAATGTGAAGCTGAAAATAGAACTGTAAAGATTCTGTAAAATTAGGTAAAAGGGTTACAAGTCTATCTCACTGTGCCATACCATGTGGCGCTAGATGGTCCCTGGCGTGAGCCTCAGTGAGCGGTCTCCTCAGCTCGTGTTCGTACAGCTCCGTTCCGCGCCACAGCTGCAGCGCGGGCCCGCCCGACACCAACGCGATGGTGCTCTCTGTCTCACCACTGCCTGGTAATACCACCACGCCTACTAGTTTCTAGAACAATTAGGGCTTAATTATTAAAAGTTAACATTCACAGATACATATTTACACTAAATGAAAGAAAATTTTACAAAACATTGGATACTGGAGTCTACAAAAGGTAGCACTAAAAAGTATAGAATTTCACAATCGGATCATTTTTAAAATCAATCAAATTGTCTTAAAGAATTTCAGTGGCTAAGCAGTGACTCTCATTACCAAGAGTCATGAATGTTCCCATATACAGTGCCCGTATAATGTATACATACAGTGTCAGCATGAGCAGGCATTGATCCAAAGAACAGCAGCGACACGCGACGTCCGATGCCACCCAACCACCCGCTCGGCGGTCGTAGTTGGCGGCATGTTACTGTCGCGCGTCCATCTGCAACAAAGACCAATTTATTAGATTAACTCTGGTTAAAAAACTTTGCTGTACAATTTCTCGAGGATACGTAAAAGGTTATATGGTGCTGATAAAGGTACCTATTATCTTTAAAACAACTGTTTATCAAGAATAGAAAAGTAAGTTTTTTCTAGCTAGCTAGGTAACAAAACTCATAACTTATATAACAGTACATTTAATTATTTAATACTTTAGAAATTGTAAAGGTATGTTTAGTACCTGGATACCATAGTGCAGTGCTTGAAAGCACCAAATTAGATTTATAAAATCATTATTGTTAGAACCATGAGATGTCCACTAACCAATGCAATTTAAAAAGTACAGAAGCTCTATAAAGACTTGTTGATGGAGTCATGAGATTTAGAGTATCATTACTTTTAGAGTATCTATGTTATTTATGTATTATATTTTATTTACCTATTTGTCTATAAGTTTTTCCTTTTATGTAACATTCCTTACTTGTTCTTGTTACTAATCTCATCCTTACATGTTGCAAGTATATACAAACACACACAGCACACAGCTTTGCAACACCCAAAGGTTTGACTGAATTAAATGAATGTGGCATTTCATCCGCCTTATGCATATATATTCACAAGGAAGTCTCAATAAATAAATAAATGTTTACTGCTAGTAAACAAGTGCAAAAAATTTTCGCATAGACAGTTCAAAAGTTGCTTAAATATGAAATTGGTAGCTGGTCCCTAAGACTTTGTCGGCATAACACTAGAACTACAAATGCAACTTCAATTAAATAAACTGAATCATACAAAAATGCTGTGTGAGATGCGTATAGTTATTATTACAGATGTTGTAAAAATCTTACCAACAACAGTAGGTGTCAGAAGAACAACTGTGCATGTGGTGGTGGCCAGCACCAATCCCTCAGGAGTGTAGTCACTTAGACGCTCACACTCCTGACCTGCTAGCTCACAGGATATATCTACATATACACCTTCCTGACCCACAGATGACCAGTAGCGGACTGTGCCTTCAGGTGATACACCAATACAGGACGGCATCTTAAAGAAAAAAAAAAATTATTTCACTATACACTTCAGACTAGACTTGCCCTAGAGATCATCACATCACATCAACAGCCTTTAATAGTCCACTGCTGGACATAGGCCTCTCCTTAGAAAGGAGGTTTTGGCCGACTATACCACGCTGGCCAGACGAGTTGATATAGGGTTTGTGTCAAGTTTGCCTTCTCTCTGCAGTGCTCTTGTTCTGCATAGTTTTCTCCCTTAGTCGGCTCTTACGACACCCACGGTATGAATAGGGGTGACACTGTGAATTCTTAATCCGTCACCACACAGACCAGAGATCAATCTGTATCAGAGATTAATTAAATGTAATTGATCTCTATCTTTAGAGATCATTAACATTTAATTAAAAATGTAAGACACAGACTAATTAGTTTTCATAAGTAGATTTTATAAAAAGTTACCTGTGCTCCATCCTCATAAAATATCACTACAAGGTCTGCTTTGTGCGCTAAATCTGTCTGAGGTAGTGTGAGTTCTCTTGCTATGGTGCTTCCTGGGGCAGGGGAAGACATACCAGAGCTACTGGGACTACGTGCCCATGATACTATTCGGCGGCCAGATACTACCCAACACCAACCGCATGGTGACATCCGGACGCTTACCTCACCACTGGCTACAAATGTCAATAAAGATATAATATATACACACACAGCCGTAATAAATAAGTTTATTTTATGTAGGATAAATTAAATTAATTAATAATTTACTTAAAAATCTTTCCAACGATAATATTAAGTGCTTTAAGAGCTTTATAATTTGTATTCGGTCTAGTTGGAATAAATTCTAGTATTAAATATAAAAAAATTGTTTACCAAATGTAAGAGCCTCTGTGACCATCACTGGCAAAGGCATCCCATAAGTTTCTATAGTAGTCATTGGAGTTTTATAGACAACATCACCACTTTGATCCCCTGCGGACTGCATAAACTTACTGTGGACCAAATAACGTTATAAGACATAAGACCTCTGTAAATTTATAAATAGTTAATAGGTTAAGTAGGTTCGAACCTTTGGTTCTTTTTAGTAGACGAGAGCCCCATGGGTCTTCGTCCTGTTATCGATTGCCTAACTCGAGGTGAGAAAGGGCTTCTCATTGCTCCTGTACTACCAAAATCCATTTTATTTCTGATCTAAAAACAATTTTGCAAAGCAACCGACACAGTACAAAATTTCAAAATGTCAAGCAGATTAGCAGAGTAAATAAAATCCTTCAAGTGTTGCTGTTTGAAAAATAGCTAAACCACTATATTTAAATAGATGACTAGTAGACACGGGACAAAATCAAAGTGAACTTATCATTCGATTTTTCCGTACGTAGGGTGGCTAGGTAGGTTAGACGTTATTTAACAGTAAATATAGTATTTTTTTAGTAATTATTTAGGGAATGGTTGCAATATATAATAAAAGAATTACTAGATTTACTGTAAAATAGATGAAATAGGGTCTTTATGCAGAGTCTAAAACAGTTTATAGGCAACAACGTGTGAGTCAGTAGGAACCTTAACCTACTTACGAAACAATCGAATAATAAATCCCCGGTCTTTCTGCCCAGTGACTAGCGATCCTCCCTGGCTTTGCACGGGTGCAATGTAGTAACTACTACTCCTAATGTGGTGAGTGTGTATGGTGTGTGAGTGTGGAGTAGTTAATTAGACTATTATTGTCTTTTGATAAGACTATAGTCTTATATATTATAGTCTACAGGACATCTTTACATACAATATTAAAGTAAAGGCCCGCTATATTCCTGCTGGCCGCTGTCATCCGGAACAATCGGGGGTTCGGGAGGTTTGGAATATAGCGGGCCTATAGTTTAATATTGTATAAATTTGCTCCCTCGTTTAAACCTCTGATTTCTACTATGATATTTACATTTACGATATGCTGATATTAGGTCTTTGCCTATGAAATTGCTGTGACCACCAGACCTTGCACCTACCGACTATTACTTTTTCCAAAATTTAGACAACTTTTTAGTGGGTAAAAAATTCAATTCCAGAGAGGCAGTACAAAATGCCTTTGAAGAGTTTGTTGCCTCCCGTCCAGTTGATTTTCACAAGAAGGGCATCAATAAACTGCCAATGCGTTGGCAAAGATGCGTCGATTGCATGGGTGATTACTTCGAATAAGAGATATAAAAAAGTTTGAATAAATAAGTACTTTCACTTATTGCATACAAAACGGCAATTTCATAGGTAAAGACCTATTATACTGCAATTTTGATCTACATTAAATGCACAACGTATTTTACGTATTTATTTAGATAAGGAACGTATTGTTCAAAATAGCTTCATAAATTACCCATTATTTTTTGTATTATATAGTAAGTTAAAAATGATCTTTTTAATTTAAACGATTCCGTAGTACACTATTTTAATCGTAATTTCGTCAGGTTTCGTCAGCGTTTGCGCTCAAAAAAAATTTTTTGTAAGCTTGTGTAATTAAAATTTAATTTCAGTTTGGTCTGTTTTAGGTAACTTTTTTAGTTGCTTACTCATTGATGAAAAGAACGTTTTCATTACATCAACCATTTCTCTTAATCAATTATCGTCATTATCATTTTTAGTTGTACGTCTCGGAGTGAAGCTTAAAGTAGAATTTTGCGTAGACACTCTTGAAACAGATGCCCTTGAAGAAGAAGTCCTTGGAGTGGACGTAAAAATGGTGGGAGGAGGTGAAAGTGTAGATTCTTCAGAAAATTGCAATTCAGAATCTTGTGCTGCCGAATCGTCATCATTTTGTATCATCTAAGCTTGTAACTGTAGATCTGAACCGGCAACCCATAATTTGCATCAAATCTTCTTCAAAGTCTTCATCTGACATCTGTCAGCTAACTGTTCTCAGAAATTGCTAGTATGTCGTGGCATCGTGTGTTGGTAATGTGCACGGGACACATCACGTTTTAATAATGTGTTTCGGCATGAATCCTTTTCATACTACACGAAATATTTGCATCCCATGTGTGACAGATTCTTGCGAAAAAAAACGTGCTATGAAAAATCGCTGTGCGGTCAGGTTGGCCCTTTATGCGACCTTGGATTCTATTCGTCGATTCACGTGGGGCACAACTGTCGCGACTTTTTCCAAAAAGTTTTGTTACTTGCCTTCCACTTTGAGACGTAACATTGACAAAAACTTGTTTGCCACCTTGATAGAAGTCACCCGAGCACGCTACGCCGTTCTAATCTGTAATGTTTAAAAAGAAAAATGCTTAAACAACACTTATTATTTGATTTTTTTGACTGCACGGATGGCGTAGTGGTTTAAGTGGTTGCCACGCCGCTTTCTACTACGCCGAGTGTTGTGGGTTCAAACCCCACATGGGACAACACTTTGTGCGATCCACAAATTGTTGTTCTGAGTCTGGGTGTTCTTTGTGTCCGTTTCATGTATGTTTGTAAAGTCCCCCGCGACACAGGAATATATATTCCTAATGCGGGCGTTGTCTTTTTTAAAAAAAAAAAAAAAACCCAATTTTCTGTTACAATAAAATTAACCGGAATAGAGTAGAGTAGAGCCACCACTGGAATGAGAATTTCAAAACTACGGCTTTTTTCAAATGATAATTGGTAGTTCAGTTTTAAAGCAGTTGGATAGAAGATTAATTGCTTCATCTGGCAGCACCGTAGACACTATTTGACATCGTGATTTTGTTATTATTATTAACTGTCAAAAGTTGTATTTTTCAACGGTTCTCGCGTATGAAGTTTAGCTTTCGTTGCAATATTAACATATAAATCAAGTAAACTTATGTATTTTCAGTAGCACCGATGAATTGGTACATATCATAATGTATATCAAGTCGATCGTGTTGGACGGATTCAAATCTTACGGTAATCGCGTGGAAATCACAGGTTTCGATCCCGAATTCAATGCAATTACCGGGTTAAACGGTACAGGAAAGTCCAATATATTGGATTCTATATGTTTCGTATTAGGAATTACGAATTTGTCTAATGTAAGTAATTTATTATCTATGTATATTTGTAAACATTTTCTTGTGCTATTATTTTCCCGCCAATACAATGTGTAGTGGTTTTGAAGCTAAGCTGTGCTTTGCTGATCTTAAATGTAATATTTATTTAAATACAAGAACGTTTACTTAAAGAATTTAATGAATATAGAAATCTCTATGTATTCAACATTAAAACTAGAGTAACTATGAAACCAAAAAAAAAAATCTACTACAATTTATGTTAAAACAGTAATCATAGTTCAATAGAATAGAGGATCTTCAGATACTACTATGACTGTACATAAACAGTTTTACACCTTCAAAACTGTTAAGTGCTTAGAATTAAAAAAATATGTAACTTTCATACTACAAATTTTACTTCTTTCTATTATATTTTCCATTATATACAATTTTAACATGTGTTCATAAAAATCCAGCTATGCCTGCGGGTCTGCTAGTGTAAATATCGCAATAAAAGTAGCCAATGTCTTTCCTCAAGAATCAAAGTATCTCCATACCAAATTTTATCTAAATCAGTTCAGCGGTTATTGATTCCCCATATACACTTCCACCCCCCCCTTTTACCCCCTTAAAGGATTTCTAGAATTAAAACTACCCTGTGTCCTTTACTCGACTCGGACTATATCTATACCAAATTTAATTTAAATCGGTTCAAGCGTGAAGAGGTAACAGACAGACAGACAGGAAGACAGACAGACACACTTTCGCAATTATAACATTATGGTCCATCAACGTCGTGCGCGACCGTCCTGTGGGGTGACAGACGGTGGCGGGGACGAGATACTCAAGATGTCAGCGGGTAGCGGGTGGTGTAGCGGGGAAGGGAAACGCTTCTCTTAGTGTGTAGCCGTGTGCTAGAATGACGCGCTACCCCGCCCCCGCCACTGTCTGTCACTCCGCGGGACGGTCGCGCGGATTGCCGGGTTATAGTATGGTGTACTACTACTTACTAACTTATTTATAATCTGTTGTACAATTATCTGTAACTCATCCACTAGGTGCGAGCTGGCAGTCTGCAGGAATTGATCTATAAACATGGACAGGCAGGTATCACAAAGGCCACGGTCAGTATCTCGTTTGACAACCGAGACAAGAGACAGTGTCCTATTGGCTATGAGAACCAAGATGAAATTACTGTAACTCGACAGGTAACCTTTTATACAAAATGCAGTATGTTAGTTAATAAACTTCATTGTGTTTTTTGAGTTTTCTAGATTATAAACTTTCTGGAAAATATAGTGAATGCTAAAACACTGATATTTGACTTGGTACCCAAGAATTAGGAAGGTATTACAAAATCTGTAGGCGAATGATATGTGTAAGGGTTGGAGGAGCTTTGTTCTTGGGAGCAATTAATGCTTAAGGAGGTATATGTGAGAAGACAACCCAATGAATAGACAATACTTATCTAGAATTTAATGTTAAAAATATGATTAAAAAAAAAACATTTTATTTATGTCAATAGTTATAATAATTATTAATTTAACTGCACGGATGGCATAGGGGTTTAAGGGTTTAAGGGATCCCCACATGGGACCATACTTTGTGTGATCTACAAATTGTTGTTCTGCGTCTGGGTGTTCTTTATGTCCTTTCCATGTATGTTTGTATCATCCATGTAAGTCCCCGCTACATAGGATATATTTCAATGTGGGAGTCGTCTTTTTAAAGAAAAATAATTATGTAAATTTAATTTGCAGGTTGTAATGGGTGGTAAAAATAAATACTTGATCAATGGCATTAATGTTCAGAACAAGAGAGTGAGTGATTTGTTCTGTTCTGTACAACTTAATGTGAACAATCCACATTTCCTCATCATGCAGGGGCGTATCACCAAAGTGTTAAACATGAAGCCTGCTGAAGTAAGTTGTTAAACTGTATGCTAAATAATAAAGATTTTGGTTCTTTATTTATTTATTTTTTTATTTGCAAATATGGCTGTACGATTAGCAATTTTTGTTTGTGTTCATGTTTCATCATTAAAAATGTCATTTAAAAAAAAAACAAAAATGTCCTAAAATAGTAATAACTTACAATTAAAATAAAATAAAATTAAATTAAATACATAGCACAAAGTGCTAATAATATGCTTGACAGTATTATATTACTCACTATAGCTATTTACTCTAAGTCCTTATTGAATGATAAAATTTAATTGGAGGGTATCCAAAATTTAAGATAATATTTAGTTTAATGTTTTTATGTGAGCATGAGACCCTAAAGTGAAGTAATGTTACAGATTTTGTCCATGGTGGAGGAGGCAGCAGGTACGAGAATGTATGAGGCAAAAAAACAAATTGCTTTAAAAACCATTGACAAGAAAGATGCCAAATTGAGGGAACTAAATGATGTAAGATTATTAGTTCAGCTTTAATGTGGTATAAGGATAGTTAGGAGGGCTCGGACCCCTGGGGGTGACAGGTGAGGCCATCTGTCACCCTAGCAGAAGCAGGCCGGGGTGGCGGCGAGCGCGCTCGCTTCCAGGGAGCAGAGGGAACATGGGGTTCCCACACGGGGGGGGGTCGTCTACTTGTAGATGGCCCGAGGTATGTCGGGACACTAGGGACTTCCTTTCTAGGGTATACCTGGTGTAAGGTGTAAGGGATGTTATAATGAATACTGATACCGAAGCCTAACAACCCCCCCCCCCCTCCTCCGTTTTTAGGGGGGATGGGCAAAGCGCTACAACGCACTTGTGTTGATTGTAGCGGGTGGCGGGAGTTACTCACCAGCCATTCTATTTCTTTTGTTTTATAAAATGGTCCTTAATAATGAATAATCTTTAATTGCATTTCATATTCTTAGATCATAAGAGAAGATATAGCACCAAAACTACAAAAATTGCAAGATGAACGGGCTCAATTCCAAGAGTATCAGAAGGTTGTGAGGGAGTTGGAAAATCTCACCAGACTTTATGTGGCTTATAGGTGAGTATAATGAATAATAAGTTATGCACCTCATCATCGTCATCAAGAGCCTTAATTTGTCCACCGCTGGACATAGGCCTCTCCCTAAAAAGAAGGTTTTGGGCTAGTAGACCACGCTGCCCAGACGCGTCGGTATAGGGTTCGTTTCAAGTTTTCCGTCTCTTTGCAGTCCTGTTGTCCTGCTTTGTCCACCTCTAGTGATGAGTATTATTGTAATAATTAAAACTGTTAAATAAAATTTCCATCCCAATCGACGTGCCAACACTTACCAGCATAACCCATTTGCATGTTTAATAAGCAACTGTATATGCTCAGGAAATTGTTTACCCTTTTTCGTTTACCCTCGCTTAAAGAGTGCACTTGTGTTTTTTCAACTTCTTACGAAAGTTGTTATTAAATATTAGTTTACTTAGTTGTACTGCGCAGAATTTGGTGTTATTACGAGAATCTAGGATCAAAACAATAGTGAAAGTGTTATCTCGCAATACCTTTCGCGAAGAACCACATTTCGAGTGTAGCCTTAAAATACCGTTGAATACTCGTTAACGAAAATGGCTGTATGTTTGAAATGTGAAAAAACTGTACCTAAGATTGATGATAAGAATCCGAAAATTAAGTGTTATGGTTGCGAAAGGCAAATATGCGTGAAGTGTAGTGGGTTGCTGGCGACGGAGTTAAGAGTGGTGGTGCTTCAGTCTCCTACTTTAAAATATTTGTGTCCTGATTGTGAATTGGGAGTACGTCAACTACCGGCATTAAGGAATATGGTTTCCCAACTTAAAATTGAAGTAGACACTCTCAAGTCCAAACCAAACCGAGGCGGTGACATAGAAACAATTCTTTCCGAATTGTCGGAAAGGAAGAGGCGCAGTGCTAATGTTATTCTGTTTGGTGTGGGTGAGTGCCAGCTTAAGACTGGAGATGATACCCGGGACAAAGAGGTGTGTATTAATCATGATAAAACCCAAGCACAGCAGGTGCTGTCTAACATTTCGAAATCTGAAACGCCCATTGCTGTCATACGTCTGGGTAAGCGCAGACAAGGCACTTCACCCCGACCACTTAAGGTGATCTTCTCTAATAAAAAATCGGCAATAAATGTATTAAAAAATAATAAAAAATTACCCTCTAATGTTGTGGCGAAAAACGATCTGACACCGTACCAACGCGATTATTTGAGAAACCTACGTGAGAATCTGAATCGTCGAATTGAGGCTGGTGAAACGGACTTAACTATCAAGTATGTAAGCGGTAGTCCAACTATTGTGACCACAAAAAACCAATAACACCCAACAATCCCTTTGTTGAGTTTACATTCTTCTACACCAACTTGGCATCGTTAATGGCTAAAAGAGATTTGCTTATTATTGAGATAAATAAATTGAAACCTACATGTATAATTATAACAGAAACACACCTTAAACCAACAATCCCCAATAGCTTAGTCGATATTAAGGGTTATATGCTTTTTAGACATGACAGATTGAACGGAACCGGATGGGGGGGAGTGGCTATTTATGTTTCGTGCAAACTTTGTGGCTTGCCTATACAGGTAACTCTTCATCCGACATATAACCGACACGCGGCTGTTGAGGCTCTTTGGCTGAATTTAAAATATGGATGTTTCGAAGTCCTGGTGGCGGGTGTATATAGACCAACAAATTACAAACTTGAGGATACTGACCGGTTGCTGTTCAGCACTATCAAACATGCATCTGAAGGGAAAACACCCTTGTTTATGATGGGAGATTTTAATCTCCCTGACTTGAAGTGGCCATTGTGTGATGTAGATGTCGACCATTACAACAAACTGCATAGTGAATTTGTAGATATGTATACAAACAGCAACTTGGATCAATTGGTGTCCAGTATAACAAGAAAGCGAAATGATGAAGAATCCTTGTTGGATCTGATCCTTTGTAACGAGATTAATTTGTGTACAAAAGTAGAACACCATCCAAACATAGGAAAGAGTGATCATCTTGTGCTTGTAGCCACAATACAAATTCAAAACCAACTGTCTACAAAGCACCTCAAACGCTCACGAAGACACAACTTCTTCAAGACTAATTATGGAGAAATGTGTGAAACACTAATAAAAAATAACATTATGGATTTAAACTGCTCTGATGTTGATCAAGCTTGGAATAATTTCACAAGCATTACCCATGACTCTATTAACACTCATGTTCCTTTAACAAGCAGACGCTCGAATCGAAACATAAATAAACCATGGGTCAATAAGGCTGTGTTAGAAATGATAGACAATAAAAAGCGATTGTGGAAAATATACTCATTTAAAGGCACTGATGAGTCATATAAAGATTACCGCAGACTAAAAAATAAAATTGTAACATTGGTTAAGAAGTTAAAAATGGAATTCGAAAGAGGAATCGTAAATAGTGGGCCTAAAGCCTTTTATTCGTATGTGCGCCAACAGCTTTCTTCAGCGGTGTCAGTACCCCCCTCATTGAAGGACGATGGTAAGAATTTAATCAATGACCAGAAGACAGTGGCCAACCTGTTCGCTAAGCAATTTGTAAAGTCGTATACTGCGGAACCACCAAACTCATCAATGCCATGTATTAAAATGCCACGCATTGAAAAATCTATTGAAAATATCACAATTTCCCCAGATATTGTTAGCAAAACCCTCAAAACATTCAGCGATACAACATCAATGGGTCCTGATTCTCTGCCTTCAATAGTATTAAAGCAATGTAGCAATGTGCTTTCTCACCAACTGTCACATATTATGAATGTGTCTCTTAAAACAGGAAAACTACCGCAGGAGTGGAAGGAAGCTCATGTGACGCCAATATATAAAAAGGGTGACAAATACCTTGCAGCCAACTACCGTCCAATCAGCCTTACAAGTATAGCTTGTAAAACTATGGAAAAAATAATAGCAGCAGAAATAAGGCAATTTATCAGTATGGAGAATGTTATTATGGAAGAACAACATGGGTTTGTTCCTAAGAGATCCACTGTCACAAATCTTCTTACTTGCCTTGACAAGTGGACGTGCAACTGGAATAACAATCAACCAACTGATACTATTTACCTGGACTATGAAAAGGCTTTCGATAGGGTTCCCATTAAAAGATTGACAGCAAAGCTCGAGCACATCGGAATACGTGGACAGCTTCTTCAATGGATATCTGACTTCTTAACTAATAGACAATTCAGAGTAAGATTGGGGGACACACTATCAGAAGCTCACAATGTACACAACGGAGTGCCTCAGGGATCTGTGATCGGACCTGTCTTGTTTGGTATCTTCATTACTGACCTCAGAAGTGCTATTAGATCAGACTTATCTGTGTTTGCTGACGATACCAAAATATTGGGAAACCCCCTCATCAGTCATTGCGTTATACAACAGGACTTGGATCGTATTGTACAGTGGACACAGGACTGGCTCATCCCATTAAATGCAACGAAGTGTACCGTTTTACATATGGGCCACAACAACCCGAAGTTGAAATACAAGATTGGTTCGGTGGAACTGAAACCTGTAAGTTCCCAAAGAGATCTAGGGGTAACCATCACACATAACCTCAAGTGGGATGTACATATCACAAATATAGTGAAGAGGGCTAATTCCATGCTGTATGTGGTTAGAAAAGCATTTAACATCATAACAAAAGACTTGTTTATTAAGATCTACAAAACATACATCCGCCCGCTCTCTCGCTCGTACTCCATACACATTTCAAATATGGAATCCATACTTCAAGAAAGACATAGAAATGCTCGAAAAAGTACAACGGAGGGCTACAAAAATGGTTATATCATTAAAAAACATGTCATATGAGGAACGCCTTATTGAACTAGACTTAACTACACTGGAGCAACGCAGGCAACGGGGAGATCTGATTGAAACATATAAAATATTAACTGGACACTACAATGTGAAAGACATCGGAAACCTCTACACTATGAATTCTAATACCCGATTGAGAGGACACCCATTGAAGCTCACCAGGTCTCCGTCTGTTAGCAACCCTAGAAGACACTTTCTACCAAATCGCGTGGTGACCATTTGGAATAGTTTACCGGAAAGTGTAATTAGTGCTGGATCAGTGAACATTTTTAAAAACAGACTAGACAAACATTTAAAAACAACAAAATGAACACAAGTGCAGTGATATGTACGCATCAGATCTGTGATCTGCTAGTGCATTATAGAATAATAATAATAATAATAATAAGACTATTCTGAGACTCAAAATTACTTTACACATTAATAATAATTCGATTATGTCAGTTTCTCAGAATGGATGTAGAAGTGGGAGCCGTGGCACTAAAGACCTCCTTATTATAGACAGGGCCATTAGCCAACAGGTGCGTCGTAATCGTAAGAGTTTGGCGACATGTTGGATAGACTATAAGAAGGCTTATGACTCGGTTCCACATACATGGCTTTTGAGGGTGCTGGAGCTGTATAAAATTGATACAACTCTGTGTACTTTCTTGAAGTCATGTATGGGGCAATGGAGAACAGCGCTTCGTTATCCAGGATGTCGGCAGACGACGGTAATTGATGCACCAATAAAGATCGAGCGGGGTATATTTCAAGGTGATAGTCTGAGTCCCTTGTGGTTTTGCCTGGCTTTGAACCCTCTTAGCACTTTATTAGAGGGTTCAGGGCTAGGCTATAGGTTGCAAAAAGACGATCAAGTTATATCTCACCTTCTTTATATGGATGATTTGAAACTACTGGCCCCCACCAAATTACAATTGTCAGCGTTACTGAAGGTGACGGAAAACTTTAGTAATTCTATCAAAATGGAATTTGGTGTAGACAAGTGTGCAGTCATGTATGTAAAGAAGGGTGAGATAGTAGAATCTGAAGGAATAGAGCTTTCCGATTCAACAAAACTCAGATCTCTGTCTGCCACTGAAACTTACAAGTATTTGGGTATATCACAGTCGTTAGGCATACCAGAATCTGACATGAAACAAACGTTACAGGAACGCTTTTTTGCCCGCTTGAAAAAAGTACTTAAAAGTCTTTTATCGGGGGGCAACAAGGTACGAGCCTGCAATGGTTGGGTCATGCCGATTCTGATGTACTCCTTTGGTATACTTAAATGGACTCAGACCGAACTAGATGCCCTTGATAGGAGAGTCCGTACATTGCTGACTGCATTTCGAATGCACCACCCACGTTCATCGGTTATGAGATTGTATATCCCGCGAAAGCTAGGGGGTCGTGGATTATTAAATATCAAGACCCTACACAATCGGGAGATATGCAATCTCAGAGAATATTTTCTACATACCGATGTGGGAATGCATCGCAATGTAGTTGCAGTGGATATCGGATTCACCCCGCTCGCTCTGGCTAAAGAGAATTGGCGCAAACCTGTAGTATTTAGTACTAATGATCGTAGGGAAGTATGGAAGGGCAAAGAGCTCCATGGCCGGTTTTATCGGGCCCTAAACGGGTCCGATATAGACTTTAAAGCATCTACGACTCGGCTACGGTATGGTGATCTCTTCGGAGAAACTGAAGGTTTTGTTTGTGCGATTATGGACGAAGTTATCATGACGAATAACTATCGGAAATATATCCTGAAAGATGGTACGGTTGACATCTGTCGGGCATGTCACCGTCCTGGGGAATCAATCAGGCATATCATTTCTGGTTGTTCTCGTCTTGCTAACGGTGAATATTTGCATAGGCACAACCAAGTAGCCAGGATTGTACACCAACAGCTTGCTCTTAAATACCATCTTGTGAATCTAGAGGTGCCATACTACAGGTATGTGCCCGACCCAGTTCTCGAGAATGGTCGGGCCACGTTGTATTGGGATCGATCTATTATCACAGACAGGACTATTGTTGCTAATAAGCCTGATATTGTAGTGATAGATCGATTAGAGCGCCGCGCAATTATTGTTGATATCGCCGTTCCTCATGACGAGAATCTCGTGAAAGTTGAACAAGAAAAACAAATAAAATATTTGGATTTATCTCACGAGATTGTCGATATGTGGAATGTCGATTCAGTGATAATTGTTCCGATAGTCGTATCTGCTCACGGATTGATAGCCAAGAGCCTCGACCAACACCTTAAGAGGCTCACGTTGGACGGCTGGATCAAGGGTCTGATACAGAAGGTAGTCCTCCTTGACACGGCTCGTATAGTGAGGAGGTTCCTATCTTTGCAGTCCTAACCACTGGTGTCTTGGTACCTGTACCCGATGTCGGTGGTCTACTATTTTTTATATTTTTAAATGTATTTTTATTTCTTTTGTAATATATTTAAAAATGTAATTAATATGTATATATAATTTAATAAAGAGAATAATAATAAATCATTTGTGCCTGGTAAGACACTTTCAAAAGGTTTGCAAGTATTATCTGGTACACAATAGGTTTTCTGTGGCTTAAATGAATTATTTAACAGCCTCAGCTCTTGTATCCTACGCCTTTAAGATACCTAGATGGTTTAAAATAGGCGTTCACCAAGGATCCATTCTAGGTCCAATATGTTTGCTAATTGAATATTTTAAATTATGGTATTGTAGTAGATATTAGCACAGAATTATTTTTAATACAGAAAAGCTATACTAATCGGCGAGAGAATTGTTAATATCGCGATACAGGATTAGCAGTTATTATGTAGTTCGGTGTGTCTTCGTTAGATGGCGCTATAGTATGCTTTTGTTTTGTATGTGTTTGGTATGTGGAAGTTGCTTTATCAAAAGTCTTAAATCCGACTTGATATCTAGGAGTAGTATTAATTCATTTCTGATGTTCATTTATTCTGTAATTTTCAGGTATGTTACCGCAGAACAAAACGCGCAAGAGGCTGAGGGCAAGGTGATGCAGGTACAAAATGAAATTAAGAGTAAAAAGGATAACATTAAGAAAAATAAAAAAGAAGCAGAAGATTTAGACAAAGAAATGGCTGAGCTCAGCAGAAGGTTGGATGAGGTAAGTACGATTCACCCTCGTTGCGGTGTGGTTCTTTATTGAAAGCTAAACACAAATCGATCTATAATATTTATTATTCAGATGATTATTATAGTTGTTTGTTAGTGTTTATTTCATGTTAACGCTCTAATTACTTACGATATAGTTAGTATTAAAATATTTATATTTTGTACTTGTACGGTCTGTCTATGGCTTTTAATGTAATTTTGTTTTATACAAATTTTTAGTTTGGAATAATTTACTTTTTACTCAGTTATATTCATAGATAGCGACATAGGGGTACAGTTGCCTGTAAGTTAAAGCGATACAGGCAACGAGAGAGAAGGCGTCTGATATTTCTCTGTTTAGTTAAGTTGCGATTGGTTACTTATTAGCTCCCATATTCCTCGGTCAACTATAGAGATTCACTAGAAAGAGATAGAGAGAACTATCTATTATCCATCTCTTTCTTTACCTCTATTACAAGATCGGGGCTCACGTTCATTATGTTCTTATATTCTATGGTTTTCATAGTCTATTGCGAATTGAAATTACATTTTGGAAGTAAAATTCTTTACGCACGTTTGACTCGGGGAGTAAGCTGGTGAATGCGTAACGAGAGAGTTACGAAAAGTGTGACCGGGTGAGGCGAAAGGAAGTCGAGAGGGAGATACGAGTTAGTGAAGATAGAAACAGAGAGAGTTACTTTTCGTATAGTACTGTAGAGGTAAGAGAGAGAGGGGTGCGAGTACACATTTTCTTTCTCTCATAGTCGAGAAGTTTTATTTTTTATTGTAGTGATAAAAGGTATATTTTCGGTCGTACGACACGGTGTGAGGTTCGGTTGTGCGCAGGAGAGCGGCAACGCTCTGCAGCGGCTGCAGGCCGAGCTGCAGGCGCTGGAGCGGGACGAGGCGGGGGCGGGCGCGGCGCACCGGGCGGGGCGCGACGCGCGCGCGGAGCACGAGCGGCGCGCGCGCCTGCTGCAGCGCGCGCTCGCCGACGACGACGCCGCGCTCGCCGCCAAGCGCGCGGCGCTCGCGCAGGTACTACACCTTTCTTTATCCTATAACTAATTTGTTTTTTTATATAAGACGGGGCAGACGAGCAGATCCGTCACCTGATGGAAAGTCACCATCGCCGCCCATGAACGTCTGCGACTCTGCAAATCTTTTTTTTAATTTCAGAAATCTTTGTTCTCATAAGAATTTGTACTTTCGCTTACATGAGAACTTATACACTGATAACTATTAAATATTCCGACGGGCATGCACGAGTGAAGAATAAATATAACGTGACAATAAAGGTCTAAATGTATGTACGTGAAGTAAACAAAAATTCGAAATAATCACCTTTTACTAATTTTAACAACGAAATCCTCAAACAGTATCAACGCAAACAAAATATTATTAAAAATATATGATTAATAACCTTACATTGGCAGTTCTACTGACTTAAATTGTATTAACCCAAACAGAAACAAAATTATTCTAATCCTACCCACATTCATATATTAGGTCAAATGCAATACACACGTAACAAAGATAATGAAACACTACATGAAATACATTGTTGACCAACAAATAGTTGAATTTGTTGCGTTGTACAGCTTTAATAAGTAATTAATTTTTAAGAAGGAGTACACTCTCTTGTTGTTGTTGCTTTACTTTGACGAGCCACCGTATTTAACTATTACGATCAATTTTAAAAAAAACGAAGCTATACAGTATACATATAACTGAAAAGAAGAACACAATATTTTATTTCAGCATTTCTGCTGACGTACCGATAAAAATGAATATTAATTGTAACCGATGAGCCAAGATGAACAAGACGGTAAACATCACCTAAGGAGTAATTAACTGTTAGAATTGTTCTAATCGACCCTAGATATCGTCGACGTTCGAAAACTTGCGTGCGGCGAGCGAGGCTAGCGAGACGGCTCTGGCGGAGGCGCAGCAGAAGTTCCTGTCCGTGAGCTCGGGCAACGAGGGCGCCTCTGAGTCGCTGCAGGACCAGCTCATGGGTACGGTATACTCTACGCACATAGTGGATATATTTGTTTGAACCTATACAGCACCTTTTACTTTTAAACAATTCAGTTGAATAATCCACCTTATAAATGTTGTTTACGCGGCTCTAGGCTCATTTACAACTTTTAAAACCAACTTAAATCCAACTTAATTTTTCGTACTATAAGAAATACCTTTATGATATGTTTTGTAGCTTAGTTGTGTTTAACCATCAGTCTTAATAGTGATTGTATAGCAATTATGACTGTATTTGAAAATTATTACATGCAAAAACATAGCCAGTGGTAGTCAAATGATGAGTGTCAAATACGAAAACGTAATTTTACTTTTTAGCGGCTAAAGCCGAAGCGTCAGAAGCGTCCACGCGAATATCCCAAAGCACTATGGAGAAGAAGCACGCCGAAGAAAGATTGAAAACTTTGGAAAAAGAGTTCAACAGCAGCAGCGCACAGTTCAAACGCGATCAGGACAACATCGGCAAGCAGCAAGCGCAGATAGACAAGTTACAGGTAAACCGGGTTACCTTCAGACCGCCACAAATATATAAAGCGTCCCAGCAGTAACGTGTCCCCCCGCAGGCGGAGCTGTCGCGCATGACGTTCAGCGCGGAGCGGCAGGGCGAGCTGCAGCGGGCGGTGCGCGCGCGGGGGGGGGCGGCGCGTGCGCAGCGCGACCGCCTCGACGCGCTCGCCGCGCGCCTCACGCGCTGCGAGTTCAAGTACCAGCCGCCGCACCACGACTTCGACAGCCGCAGGGTCAGCGGTCAGTATCACCTGCACTCAGCCCGGTGGGAGCGTTCGAAACTGGTGGAACACTAAAAAGTTCATAGAAAGAAACGATCCCTCGTTTTTGCCTAATTTACACTCCTGTGGTACTTTAATCTCGTGAACTACGGAAAAAATGAATGTAAATTAAGAAATGGGTGACTGATTTAAATCTTATCAAGTGATAATAGAAAACAGAGAGATATGATAAACCAAGCTACGTAACCCATACCACCATGATACTAATCGGCGCAAGATCTTCTATACCTCAATACTAGATTATATATTACTACTAGCTGAGACCCGCGGTGTTACCCGCGTTTGTTGTTATAACCGCGGGCAACGCCGCGGAGCGAAGATAGTCTAAAAAAAGTAGCCTAAGTTACTCCTTATGTCATCAGCTATCTGCCAGTGAAAGTCCCGTCGAAATCGGTCCAGCCGTTCCAGAGATTGCCCGGAACAAACAGACAGACAGAGAGACCGACAGACAAAAATTGAAAAAAATGTTATTTTCGCATATGTACCGTGTAAACATACATATGCATTTAGTAAAAAGCGGTTATTTTAATATTACAAACAGACACTCCAATATTATTTATTTGTATAGATGTAACCATTTAATTTTGTTTTCGTTGGATGATGCTGACAAATTTTATTAATCTCTTCTAGATTAAAGGCCGATAACGTTAATAAGAATTAGAAATCTATGCTCGTGGATTATGCCAGTAGCTAACACTGATTTAAAACAATTATTCAATTATTCAACTAGTTCCAGTGAATCATCACTGTATTCTGCTAGTTCCAGTGAATCAAAACTATATAGCACTCCCAATGCTCCGAAATCCCATGTCGTTGAGTAAAGTTAATTAGAGCTAAAATCCATTGATCCCAGTGCATTGGGGCTGATGCTAGTGACAATGTGTAATTGAAAAAAAAAAAAGGTTTTTTTTAACTTTAGTTGCTACCAAAAAAACATGGGCATGGGTAGGTAGAAATTGCTTTATAATTTCAGTACTGTATTACAAGGAGCGAAACTACCGACGTATTTGTAATACACACACGATAATTATAATCAAACGCAGCAAGGTATGACTATCTACTAATACAACTGACCATTTTGGCAATATTTTGTTTTCTTAGCCGTCTATACCAGCTAGTTGAGGTCCATGCAATGTAACATAAATTTTGTATGTTTTTCAGGTACAATTTGTAGGCTGATCGACGTGTGCGACCCCGTCTACTGCACGGCCTTGGAGACGGCGGCGGGAGGTCGGGTGAGTTCCGCATACTTCTTATCCCTCTCTTCTGGGGGGGGGGGGGGAGTGGGGGGGGGGGAATTTAAGGATCAATAATTTTGTATCTTGTATGTATCTCGCCAAATTCTTTACCACCTCCCATCATTAGCCATATATTAACGATGATTTTTTTCTGTGTCTGGGTGTGTAATATTTATGTATTTAGAAATATATAAGTGTGTTTATCCGCAGTCTAGTTCCCATAGTACAGGCTCTGCCTAGTTTAGGATCAGACAGCCTTTTGTGAGATGTGTGTGGTTATTATTACTTAACGACTGATTTAATTTTAATTATCAAGGTATCTTTAAGTTCGTTTAAACAAGTTTCGTTAAATATGTGGCACAAAATTAATATAATATTTTTTTTCTTTCTTAATTCGGACAAAAAGGAAGAGTTTTAAAAGATGAATACAAAAAATAAATTAAACTTATTATATTCATGTTTGTATTTTTAACACAGTTTGCTTTCCTGTTTCTAATTATAGAATTCTTGTTTCTGAGTCATATTTATAATCATAATAATAATCTACCACATTCACACAACGCCGTCTTGTCCCAAACTAAGCAGAGCTAAGCAGGGAATATGGGTACTAGACAACTGATATAAATACATATATACTTTTTTTTTTTGTAAATACATACATATTATACATAGAAACACCCAGACATAATCAAACATTAGTTCATGCAGACAAATGTTTGACTTGTGCGGTAATCGAACCCGCGACCTTTAGGATAGCAGTCCGTTATACAAACCACTACGCTATCCGGTAAGGTAAGGTATTGAATGTAAGGTATACGTCCCCAGCTATACAACGTGGTGGTGGACACGGAGGTGACGAGCAAGCTGCTGCTGCAGCGCGGCCAGCTCCAGACGCGCACCACCATCATCCCGCTCAACAAGATCAGCGGACACGTCATCGACAGGGAGACGGTCAAGCTGGCACAGAAAATTGTGAGTCTATTTATATAAACATTGCGATTTTTAACTTCGGTTATGTTTAAATAACTGTGACCACCATTACCACTAATATATTAATATTTTTTCATTATTTTTCCAGACTATAATCTAAGGCTATGCCAAATTTAATCCAGATCGGTTATTTAAAAAAAAATAGGGAATATGCACGTGACACCAAAATGGACAAAATATTTTTATTTGTAATTTTTATTGCTAAAAAAAGATACCCATACAATTATTTTTGAAATTTATTAGATAGATATAATTTAATATTGAAATTTAATCATCAAAAATTGGCTTTTTTAAGATTCCCTCGCAAATTTCTAAAACGCCACGCTATTGGTTGAACAAAACGTGACGTCAACCTACACTGTCAAGAGTGTCAACAAGTTGTATGTATTTGTAATATTTGGTTTCTGGTGATTTTTTTGTTTCATTTTAAGTTAATAACTAATACGTTTTCAGTGTTAAATTATTAAATTCTCGTGTAGAAAGACTCAACACAATGACTGACACCGGTTTTGTCAAAGCACAATCAGATAATCTTCCTAAAATAGACGTGTTTATGATAAGCACCTATTTCGCATCTAATTCAGATTTTACGTCTGCTGAACTCAGAGGAGCAAAAGCTGCGAGGTAAACAAGTTATATAAATTTTATTAAATGATCGTTTTCATGGTTTTCTTAATAGTAGTAGAACATAAATATAACCTATAATACGCTCAGGTGCAGTTTTGATATTATTTAGGCACAAAGGAACGGCACAATATTTATAATAAGTTTTTATTGGCTTTTCCATGGTAATAATTTAATTATTATCACTCACTTTTTTAAGTCTCAGAAACTTTGTGAACTTCACTCCGTTGTTGACATCGAATTCGTCTGAAAGTGTAATCTGACGTCATAAAAAAAGCGCGCCAAAATGGACGTGTTCAAATTGCCCCAAAATGATAGTGATTTTAATAAAAAAATTTTTGCTTAACGGTTTATATTTCGGATGTGTTAGATTTATTTTTGGTAATGTAATAACTAGTAGAATCGTTAAAATAATAAAAATACATGCATATTCCCTATTCACTTATATCCTAAATACTATTAATTGTGAAGCAAAGAATTAATATCATTGAATTAACGAACCATTTAAAGAAAAAAAAGACCACCAGTATTTTTTTTAAATCGAAGGTCCAATGGGAAGTATACTTTCGAAATAAAAAAAAAAAGATATAGTTCTGAGGTAGTAAACGAAAATACAATGGAATTGAGAATCTCTTTCTTTCTCGAACTGAACTGTGACTGCATTACTTTTAAGAGGGCTGAGCACATGCATGATAGGCTTCTGGAAGTCACCACTGAGGCTCGGACATTGGTTTGCCAAAATAGTAGGTACATTTTTCACTATAGTGAAATATCCTATTACTTTCATAGAGAAAACACAATTTGGAGGGTGGATAATCAGGCAAAGAAGTTAGTTTGGTTTTAAAGACACACGTGTCGGTTCCCAGGGCGGCGGTCCGGAGAACGTGCAGCTGGCGCTGGACCTGATCTCGTTCGCTCCTCACCTGCGGCCGGCCATGGCGTGGGTGTTCGGCGGCACGCTGGTGTGCCGCGACCTGGACACGGCCAAGCGCGTGACGTTCCACCCCGCCGTGCGGCGCCGCTGCGTCACGCTGGACGGGGACGTGTTCGACCCCTCCGGCACGCTCTCCGGGGGTGCACGGCAAAAGGTTGCCTAGTTTATTAAATCTAATGAAAAAAAAAATTGTACTTAATAATAATATTTTAACAAGGAATTATACAATACAAAAATCAACACAATATATAACTGTAGCAATAGGTCGCTTTATTAATAAAAGTCAAATTACTAGTTTACCATGTAAAACATCGATTCTATCGTCTTCCTTATTACATGAAATATATTAATACAATAAAATATGAAATCTATATTTGGAAAAATATTAAGTTATAATTGATTATAATAACAAAGGCATTGCCGGTGCAGCCTAATTAAGGAACATAATATATTTGTAGAAGATGAGACAGTACATTCATAGACGCTGATTTTTGTCCGGCTCGAAGGACCATGTCTTCTAGGACGTCGGTAAAAAGATACGGCTCACCGATGATAATAAACAAAATTAATAGAACTAAGAAAAGAATCTACAAAGAAAAGAGACAGCACAAAATATGGCCGTTAATCGTGTACTAAACTTTTTCTAATTAATTAGAGGTAAAAACGGTTGTTCTGCAATAGTTGTCTGCAACTGTTTTAATTGCACATTAATATTTATTGGGTGCTATTGCGTCTTATGCACTTAACGGTCTAAATATTGCAAATACACATTCAGGGTGGGTCAGTACTGCTGCAATTACAAGAACTAAAGCAGCTGGAACAGACGCTGCAAGCAACGGAGGCGCAGCTGTCACAAGATACGGCTGAGCTGAACGCCATGCAACAGGCAGCCGAGAAGTACACCAGCACACAACAGAAGTATGTACCATTATAACCATTTCATACCTCTCTGTTTCTAAAAAACTCTTCTAAATTCTTTCCGTGGGAGAGCCATGCTTCAGCACGAATGGGCCGTCTCGACCGGAGTGATACTACGGCCTCACAGAAAACCGGTGTTAAGCAATTCTTTCGTTGCCTTTCACTGAGTGAGTGAGGTTACCGGAACCCAAATGACCCCTCCCGCTGACTCGAGCGGGATCAGGTGACCCGTCTGCTCGTTTGCCCCCTTATATCATAACAAAATACTACTAAGATTTGTGATAAGAAGAATGTTATTAAGTAAATGAATTAAATCAGTTTTAATGTATATTTCAACAACTAGTTTAGTTTATAAACCACTAGTTTTTGTCCACGGTTCAGCCCGCGATTGCGGTAAAAAGTAGCCAATGTACTTTCTTAAGAATCAAACTATCTCAATGCAAAATTTCATTTAAATTAATTTAGTGGTTATTGATTTCCCATACAAACTTCCACTCCCCTTTTCATCCCCTTGAAGGATATTTTCTGGGTTAAAAACTATCCTGTCTTTTCCCGGGACTCGAACTATCTCTCTACCTACACACTTTCGCATTTACAATATTAGTATGGACTCTGAACGTTTGCAGGTACGAGATGATGTCCCACGAGCTGGAGGTGATCAAGGCGCGCCTGGCCACCACCTCCACGGCGCAGCTGCACGCCGAGATCCAGAGCCTGCGAGCGCAGGTAACCGCCACACGCACATTCTACATCCAACGCACTGTTGTATCTAAGAATATCTAGCATTTTTAAAAATAGGCTTGTGTCCGCTAATAACAAATTGCTTGGTTAATAGTTTGAAATGATAAATGAAGAGACATAGATAAGAAAAAACCAGTCTATTTGATAAAAGTTAAAGATTATTATTTTTTAATAATAAATTCGAACAAAATAGACATTAAGTCACGTGACAGCGAACACCAATCAGAAAGTGTTACGTCACGCCACGCAAAACATCATTGTTGTTGTTGACGTTTTCGTACACCAGAGCAGGTTACTCCTTATTGTTTTTCGTTTTTAGCATATTTTCTCACTTTAATACAGTTTCAGTTGACACTGGACACAGATGTAAACAGTTTTGTTTCGCAGACTGTGGCGCCATGTCACTATTCTCATTTTCAAGGGAAATTTAAATTGTGTTTTTTTTAATACTAAGTACGTAAAGTAAATATTTCTTTTTCTTTAAAATATAGGTTTTTTGGGATAAAATAGATATTAAAGTATATTATTAACCAAGTTTTCAAATTGAGTCAACTAGCCTATTACAAAATTAATGGAACTGCTCAGTATGGAAATCCTGATCTAGATACCGAACTTTTACATTTTAATGAAATATATAGAACTGTTTCTACAAAAAAAAAACCCTCTTGGGCATCGCAATGAATATTTAGCACTCTATTGAGTATTATATGTATATCTATAAAATAAAAATATTGTTTAGGTAGAAGAATTAACTGCAGCCGTAGAACGGGACAAAGTGACACAGAAGGAAACCGCGGCTCGGGCGAGGGAACTGGAAGCCAAGGTCAAGGACATCAAAGGGCATCGGGAGAGGTAAGACATTAATTACATTAAAATTTAATAAGATAATTTCATTAATATTTTTTTTTATGTACTGCAAACAAATAATCCAAAACCGTGCTCCTAAGACTACTGCTGGATGCTCCATCCGCTCACAAAGACCCCACGTAAATAAAATCCAATATCTTAAATATGAAAAATTGTAACAGGGAATTTAAAAAAGCAGAGGAAGCTTTGAAAAAAGCCAAAAAAGACGCAGAACTTCATGGAAACTCGTGGAAACAACGAGAACAAGAGCTGGAGACGCTCAAGCTGGAGGTGCAGGAGCTGGAGAACGCCGTCACAACCAGTCGACAGCAGCTGGAAGAGACCAGCCAAGCCGCCGAGCAGCTGCGGGAGACGTTCGAAGCTGCCAAACTGGAACATGAAAGGACTACGGTCAGTATACCTTGGGCTCTTGAGCCTGGCAGAGTACAGAGGAGTCAATTCATGTCTTTTTTTAAATATCAGCGGTGTCTTTATATCAATATTCCATTCCCGATTATTATCAAATGTTGATGTGACAAAATTCTCAGTTTACAGCTGAACTTAAAAGTGAAATTCACTGAAATTTGCTTACAATAGGGATTAAAGATATGAATAAAATAGTGACCAAGACAGTTGCCTGTTGTTTCTATCCACTAATTTAATCAGTTTACATATATTGTGTGTTGATTGGTTAGCCCGGAATAACCTTAAAATTAATCTTCATAAAAAGTCATGCATTTTAGTCAAAGTGCACAATCCGATTACAATCAGTCACAATAGTCATGCGTTAAAAGAAGCATTCACTGCGAAATTTTTGGGTTTGGTCTTTGATAGACAGTTAAATTGGAAAGAACATGTAGCTCAACTATGAAAAATATAATAATATAATATATTCTACCATATACACACAACGCCATCTAGTCCCAAACTAAGCAGAGCTTGTACTATGGGTACTAGACAACTGATATAAATACATATATACTTTTTTTTTTGTAAATACATACATATTATACATAGAAACACCCAGACCAAATCAAACATCAAATGTTAATGCACACAAATGTTTGACTTGAGCGGGAATCGAACCCGCGACCTTTGGAATAGCAGTCCGTTACACAAACCACTACGCCATCCAGTCGTCGAAAGAATCAGTAGTTCTACATACGCACTGTACAAATTGTCGGGAATTGTTGATAATGATGCTGTCCTTACTGCCTATCACGGTCTATCGGAATCAATGTTACGATATGGCATCATTTTTTTGGGTAACTCAACACATAGCGTAATGGTTTTAAGACTCAGAAACTGATACTTGTAGGCCGTATTTTGTCCGGTATGGCGTCCTGACGCTTCCGTCACTATACATACTGGAGGTGGCTTCTTTCGTACACAAAAATCCTGACCTATTTCAGCGCCTATCTGACGTTGTAAAAAGAAACAGGCGCAACGACAATAGTTTGTGCTTACACAGCGCTAAAACAAGGATCATGAGTAAAAGTTTGCTATGTATTGCGCTAAAAATTTATAATAAACTGCCGTCTTACATAAAAAAAATTAATATTGACTTATTTAAAAATAAATTAAAAAATATCTTGGTTGCGAAATGTTATTATAGTATTACTGACTTTATGAATGATAGAATTGTATAAAGGGAAATAATGGTTTTTGACATGAAATTGCTGATATTTGTTTGTTTAAATTTAAATTAAATGTTGAATTGACTAAGCAAATGTAACATAACTATATTTTTCTTTTATTATGTATTATTGTATAAACTAAATCTTTTTTTGCATGTCTAGAGGTAGAATATGGCTGCTCATTGTTATACATTTATTAACACCTTAATATGTATATCTCTGTTAGCAAAATAAATTATTTGATTTGTGTAGGAAGCAGTAAAAGAAATGCAGTCTCGCATCAAAAAGCAGAAAGCGGAGATATCAGGCCGCAGCGGCGAGATCACTCGGCTGAACCAGAACAAGGAACAGTTGGGCAAGGCCAGCGGTGACTTGGAGCTCGCCATTAAGGAGTTAGAATACAAGATCAAGGAGTTGCAGACAGAAGCCGCCGAATGTGTCAGAAAGGTAAAATATTACTTGTTTCATCTGTTGTTTGTTTTAACATAAATAATTAAATAAATAAAACATCATGCAATCTTTGACATAATTTGAAGCTCCGCCTATAACTTAGAATAGCCTGTTAAATAGTGGTGACGTGCGTTGCGTAGATCGAGTCCCTGGAGAGCGAGTACACGTGGATAGCGAGCGAGCGCGAGTACTTCGGCGCGGCGGGCGGGCTGTACGACTTCGCGGGGCGCCAGGCGCACGTCGCGGGCCAGCGCCTCGCCATGCTCAAGGAGCGGAGGGACAAGCTGGCGCGCGGCCTCAACGCGCGCGCGCACACCCTGCTGGGCAAGGAGGAGGAGCAGGTGCGTGTGTCGTGTGTACCGCAGGGCTCCACGGCAGAGCGGGACGCCAGCGCCTCGCCATGCTCAAGGAGCGGAGGGACAAGCTGGCGCGCGGCCTCAACGCGCGCGCGCACACCCTGCTGGGCAAGGAGGAGGAGCAGGTGCGTGTGTCGTGTGTACCGCAGGGCTCCACGGCAGAGCGGGACGCCAGCGCCTCGCCATGCTCAAGGAGCGGAGGGACAAGCTGGCGCGCGGCCTCAACGCGCGCGCGCACACCCTGCTGGGCAAGGAGGAGGAGCAGGTGCGTGTGTCGTGTGTACCGCAGGGCTCCACGGCAGAGCGGGACGCCAGCGCCTCGCCATGCTCAAGGAGCGGAGGGACAAGCTGGCGCGCGGCCTCAACGCGCGCGCGCACACCCTGCTGGGCAAGGAGGAGGAGCAGGTGCGTGTGTCGTGTGTACCGCAGGGCTCCACGGCAGAGCGGGACGCCAGCGCCTCGCCATGCTCAAGGAGCGGAGGGACAAGCTGGCGCGCGGCCTCAACGCGCGCGCGCACACCCTGCTGGGCAAGGAGGAGGAGCAGGTGCGTGTGTCGTGTGTACCGCAGGGCTCCACGGCAGAGCGGGACGCCAGCGCCTCGCCATGCTCAAGGAGCGGAGGGACAAGCTGGCGCGCGGCCTCAACGCGCGCGCGCACACCCTGCTGGGCAAGGAGGAGGAGCAGGTGCGTGTGTCGTGTGTACCGCAGGGCTCCACGGCAGAGCGGGACGCCAGCGCCTCGCCATGCTCAAGGAGCGGAGGGACAAGCTGGCGCGCGGCCTCAACGCGCGCGCGCACACCCTGCTGGGCAAGGAGGAGGAGCAGGTGCGTGTGTCGTGTGTACCGCAGGGCTCCACGGCAGAGCGGGACGCCAGCGCCTCGCCATGCTCAAGGAGCGGAGGGACAAGCTGGCGCGCGGCCTCAACGCGCGCGCGCACACCCTGCTGGGCAAGGAGGAGGAGCAGGTGCGTGTGTCGTGTGTACCGCAGGGCTCCACGGCAGAGCGGGACGCCAGCGCCTCGCCATGCTCAAGGAGCGGAGGGACAAGCTGGCGCGCGGCCTCAACGCGCGCGCGCACACCCTGCTGGGCAAGGAGGAGGAGCAGGTGCGTGTGTCGTGTGTACCGCAGGGCTCCACGGCAGAGCGGGACGCCAGCGCCTCGCCATGCTCAAGGAGCGGAGGGACAAGCTGGCGCGCGGCCTCAACGCGCGCGCGCACACCCTGCTGGGCAAGGAGGAGGAGCAGGTGCGTGTGTCGTGTGTACCGCAGGGCTCCACGGCAGAGCGGGACGCCAGCGCCTCGCCATGCTCAAGGAGCGGAGGGACAAGCTGGCGCGCGGCCTCAACGCGCGCGCGCACACCCTGCTGGGCAAGGAGGAGGAGCAGGTGCGTGTGTCGTGTGTACCGCAGGGCTCCACGGCAGAGCGGGACGCCAGCGCCTCGCCATGCTCAAGGAGCGGAGGGACAAGCTGGCGCGCGGCCTCAACGCGCGCGCGCACACCCTGCTGGGCAAGGAGGAGGAGCAGGTGCGTGTGTCGTGTGTACCGCAGGGCTCCACGGCAGAGCGGGACGCCAGCGCCTCGCCATGCTCAAGGAGCGGAGGGACAAGCTGGCGCGCGGCCTCAACGCGCGCGCGCACACCCTGCTGGGCAAGGAGGAGGAGCAGGTGCGTGTGTCGTGTGTACCGCAGGGCTCCACGGCAGAGCGGGACGCCAGCGCCTCGCCATGCTCAAGGAGCGGAGGGACAAGCTGGCGCGCGGCCTCAACGCGCGCGCGCACACCCTGCTGGGCAAGGAGGAGGAGCAGGTGCGTGTGTCGTGTGTACCGCAGGGCTCCACGGCAGAGCGGGACGCCAGCGCCTCGCCATGCTCAAGGAGCGGAGGGACAAGCTGGCGCGCGGCCTCAACGCGCGCGCGCACACCCTGCTGGGCAAGGAGGAGGAGCAGGTGCGTGTGTCGTGTGTACCGCAGGGCTCCACGGCAGAGCGGGACGCCAGCGCCTCGCCATGCTCAAGGAGCGGAGGGACAAGCTGGCGCGCGGCCTCAACGCGCGCGCGCACACCCTGCTGGGCAAGGAGGAGGAGCAGGTGCGTGTGTCGTGTGTACCGCAGGGCTCCACGGCAGAGCGGGACGCCAGCGCCTCGCCATGCTCAAGGAGCGGAGGGACAAGCTGGCGCGCGGCCTCAACGCGCGCGCGCACACCCTGCTGGGCAAGGAGGAGGAGCAGGTGCGTGTGTCGTGTGTACCGCAGGGCTCCACGGCAGAGCGGGACGCCAGCGCCTCGCCATGCTCAAGGAGCGGAGGGACAAGCTGGCGCGCGGCCTCAACGCGCGCGCGCACACCCTGCTGGGCAAGGAGGAGGAGCAGGTGCGTGTGTCGTGTGTACCGCAGGGCTCCACGGCAGGAGCAGGTGTGAAGTGTGTAGCTCGCAGGGCGCCGCGGCAGTAACCACGTCTAAAAATAACAGAATATACTACAGTGCCATCTAGCAAAGATAAGTCGAACGGAGGGCCGAGTGCAAGTTCGTTTCACATCGACTCGCTCTCGACGACGAGCGCGTTTACCGTTGCGATTGGTGGAGATTTCAGTGCGGGCCAAACGCAGCGCCGAACACGGTCACCGTGCGGGCCAAACGCAGCGCCGAACACGTGTATTCTCGTCGAAAGATTCTCCCCTTGTATTAGAGTAACATTAATTTCAGCTCCTTCATATAATAATCAAAATTATAAAGTGATACTAAAGATTGAACTAGTAATTATATTTTTAGCGTGTTTATACGTTCTCAGTACCAAGACGTGATGCGCAAAAAGGCAATCGTGGAAGCGGACCGCGCCAAACTAGTCCAGGTGATGGCAGAGCTCGATGAGAAGAAGAAGCAAACTCTAGTGACGGCTTGCGAACAGGTCAACAGGGACTTCGGCTCCATCTTTAGCACTCTACTGCCTGGAGCGCAGGCCAAGCTCAAGCCGCCGGACGGACTCACCGTGCTCGACGGTCTGGAGGTACGGGGACCCTCATTAGCGTAGACGTAACGTGTCAAGGAGGAATACTTTAAATTAACGGGCGATATAACCCCAGGTAAAGGTGGGGTTCAACCACACGTGGAAGGATTCGCTGGGCGAGCTGTCGGGCGGGCAGCGCTCGCTGGTGGCGCTGTCGCTGGTGCTGGCGATGCTGCTGTTCAAGCCGGCGCCGCTGTACATCCTGGACGAGGTGGACGCCGCGCTCGACCTCTCGCACACGCAGAACATCGGCCAGATGCTCAAGGAGCACTTCAGACATTCGCAGGTACAATTTTACATCATAGATTAATACATAGATGAATATTAGGTACTCAAACCTCCTTTTGAAGTTTTGATAAATGTCCAGATAATTAAAAAATCATAATTATCATAAGTCAGGGAGTAAAATTTATTATCAGGCGTTCGTTTTTCACTAGGTTTTTTTAATATTTTTCACCCTTTCACCTAATTTTGGCCTTCTTCCGTCTACGGACGTAATAATAATAATAATAATAATAAATCTCTTTATTGTACACCAGGTATAAATATATAAAGATTAACTTAAGCTAGATTAGACAGGTACAAATGGCGGCCTTATCGCTCAGAGGCAATCTCTTACAGGCAACCTTGGTATGGAGAGAAAAACATAAAGGCAAGGAGGTGCAGGGTAGTGGCTGGTGTACTAAGAAAATACGAGTAGATTAGAAGAGGAAATCAATGTAGCATCTATATAAATATATAAAAAAAAATAACTGGAAGGACTAGGTCTAGGACTCTGATACGACTTAGGTGAATATGACATAGGTACTAGAAGGAATATGCCATATACTATATGCTAAAAAAGACTAGTGGTGTTATTAGATACATACAAATAAATAAATAAAATAATGTGATTTATAAATACACGCAAATGTATATACTTAAATGTATATTAATATATACAAATAATAATACAAATATATATACTTAAATATAAGAAATAATGTAACCTTATTGACTTAAAAGGCGGTTAATAATTATTGTACATTTATGTCTCCTAGGTAATGTGCTTTCACTTGTTTCTTGAAGGAATCAAGTGTTTGTGCACGTCTTATTACGACCGGTAGGGCGTTCCACAACCGAACCGCTTTAACAGAGAAGGAGACGTCGAGGAATTTAGTGGAATGTCCCGGCATTTTTAGTTGCAGGTTCTCAGACGATCTCAACAGCTTGGGGTGTGTGTCATTTGAGAAGGTAAACCGTGTTTTGAGGTAACGTGGTGTAAAAGGATTAAATAGAATATTATAGAGAAGAGAAAGAGTATGTGCATCCCGGCGAAGGCGAATGGGTAACCACTTAAGCTTCTTGCGATATTCAGAAACATGATCATATTTGCGAAGTCCAAATATGAATCTTATGCAGAGATTTTGGAGTCTCTCAAGCTTATTCAATTGGTCTTCAGTAAGATCTAGATAGCTGGCATCAGCATAATCAAGGATGGGGAAAAGGAGGGATTGTACAAGAGCAATTTTGGTTAGAGTAGGTAGAAAGTTGCGTAGTCGGCGTAACGACCCTGCAGCGGCAAACATTTTGCGACTCAGTTCTTGTAACTGAGGACCCCAGGATAAGGTACTATCCATGTATATCCCCAGATTCTTGACCTTATTACTGTACGGAATAGGTGTACCATTGCAAGTAATTTGAGGCAGTTTTGTCCAGTCAATTTTGGAGATCATTCGCGAGCTTCCAATGACAATGACCTGAGTCTTAGTTGGGTTGATTTTCAGGCCGTGGGAGTTGCTCCACTTACATATTTTTCCAAGGTCAGCATTTGTAGTGCCTACAGCATCAGCAAGATTAGCCAGTGAAGCCCTAGCATAGATCTGGAGATCATCCGCGTAAAGGTGGTAGGAAGAAGATAGTTCATTGGTGATAGTGTTTATAAAAACAGAGAAAAGTAGCGGAGATAGCACGCCGCCCTGTGGTACACCGGCTGTAGTACTGCACCAAGAAGAAACAGTGCTTTCAATACTAATGCGCTGCCGGCGACCAGACAGGTAGTTGCGAAACCAGTCAATCACAGTTGGAGATATGTTAAGAGAGCGTAATGTACACAGCAAAACGTCAAAGTCAACAGTGTTGAATGCATTACTGAAGTCCAGCAATGTTAGGACTGTAAGCTCACCATTCTCCATAGCAGATCTGATGTCCTCCGTAATATGAACTAGGGTAGTAGTGGTACTGTGCCCGGGTCGAAAACCGGACTGGAGAGGATTTAGGAGCAGGTTTTTGGATAGGAAACTTGTAAGTTGAGAATGAATAAGACGTTCAAGGACCTTGGAGAGAAAGGGGAGGACGGAAATAGGGCGGTAATCAGAAAAGGATGCAGGGTTTTTCTTTTTGGGGATGGGTATAATGTCAGCATCCTTCCAAGCTGATGGAAATACGCTTTTTGTCATTGAATAGTTTAATATATGACAAATAACAGGAAGGATTTCATCGAGGATTGGGAGGATCATATTACGGCTTAGACAGTCAGAACCCACTGCATTCGACGTAATAGACATGATGCTCTTCCTAACATCACACTCTGCAAGTTGACTAAAAAAGAAGGGAGAGCAGTCAGGAGTCGGGGCAGAAGTAAGATGTTTTAGTGTAGCATCTTTAGTCATTTTATCAAAATTTGACGAAGCAGAGAAATGTTGATTAAGTAAGTCTAAGTTTACATTATTGGAAATGGAATCGTTAACAGATTTGCCTACTCCCAGTGACCTTAAAAATTTCCAGACTTTAGCTGGATCCCCGTTTTCAACGGAGCTATGAATATATCGGCGTTGAGCGTTCCTACACACCTTGTTGCAATGATTCCTGATGGATACGTATTTTTCCCGGTTATTTTCGCTTGGATTCTTTTTAAATTTTGACTTTGCTAATGCTTTCCTCTTGATAAGCGTTTTTATCTCCGCAGTTAGCCAAGGTGACGGGAGGCGTTTGACCTTCATTTCTTGGATTGGGGCTAGTTTGTTGTATAGAGAAGTTAATTTGGAGGTAAAAAACGCCACTTTGTCATCTATACAATCAGCACTGAAGAGAGGAGCCCAATCAATACTGTTCGCATCCCTTACCAAGGTATCCACATCCATGCCCTTGAAGTTCCGTTGCAGAATAATCTTTGATTTAGGTTTGGGGGGTCGGAGATGATAAGATAGATACAGCAAGTCATGGTAGGAGAACTCGTCAGCAGAGCACTGGCCGTGTTTAGCTGCGAGGTTAGGGGAGGAAACAAGGATAAGGTCTAGCAGAGAAGGAGTAGAGTGTGGAAAATGGTGCGTTGCATTTGAAGGAAGAATAGATAAATTGCTAGATTGGATGATAGATTGAAGAGTCGACGAACGAGAATCATTTTTGAGAAGGCAGGTATTGAAATCACCCATGATTAAGGTGTGACTGTACGAAGGAGTAAATTGTTCTAGGAGCAACTCAAACGATGAGAAGAAGTCGATGCGTAAGGATGGGCAATAGAAGACGCCAAGAAGGATTTTGGAGTGAAGAAGTTCAACCTCAAGGAACAGATGTTCACCCGCATTCGTTGGAGGGGGCTGCGGCGATATACTAACAACAGAATAGGGGATATAAGAGCGTAAATAGATTGCAACACCGCCGCCGCCACCCACAGCGCGATCATTCCTGATGAGGTTGAATCCTGGAAGAGTATATGCAGAAGAGGGTAAGCAGGGCTTAAGCCACGATTCAGAGACAAGTATAGCGTGTAAATTCGTACAATCAAAGCATGCCAGCATATCGGAGAAGTGAGCCGGAATACTTTGAGCATTTATATGTACAAGGTTGAGATTTTTGGGTACGTCAGAGAACCGAGATGAGAGAGTCTCAATGATTGTTGGATCATCCTGAGAACTAGAATTACTACAGGCAGACAAAAAGTCAGTAGTATCATCACTATCAGGCGAAGACATTTATGGCTTCCAAGTCGTTGGTTAGAAAAAATAATAATAGTGTATTTTTATAAAATATTCAGATAAAGGTAAGTAAGTTAAGTATCGATATTAAATAAAAGTATAATAAAAGGATGTATTAGATATCTAAAAATATTTATCGGTTCACTCCATCTGCCGGTTGCCAGTTACACAATGAACAGTAACAGAAATAATTAAATTGAAGAGAGAAAAAAATAGAAAAGAAACACAACAAATGACAAAAACCAGTAGAAAAATAAATAAAAAAGAAATCGAGAATAAAAAAAAAATAAAAAAAATACAAAGAAAAGAAAACAAATAAGCACTCACTCTCAGTCCAGGTACATACGTTTAAAAGACTTTGTTTCAAATAAAGGATTAAATTGTAAAGTGGAACAATACGCAGCAATGACAATTTTGACATTAAATGTTTGAAGTAAAATGTCAGTATGTAACAATAATTTATTGTTTACCTAGGGATTATTTTACAGAAAATGTGGGTTAGGGATAATAATATATGCAAAATTAAGTATATGAAGGATACCTTCATATACTTAACTTAAGTGAAGTAGAAGTAAACAATATGTTACTGATATGATAGTGATGAATTGTACCTGGACTGTGCAATGTATGCAAGATGAGTATTTACTTTTTAGCAGCCGCTGCACGCTTAGGCTTCGTCCCGGTGGCCTTCAGTACTGCGATGGTCGGCTTCGGTGATATAGTGAGGACTTTGTTAAGCTCAGCTAAGGACACCACTCGATGACGCGCTTCATCAGGCCCCAAGACGTAGACAATGCCCTCCTTGGTCCAGCACCTTGCAACTCCCACCTTTTCACGGGCTGCCATGAATAAATCATGTCTAGTCTTGGTCAAGAACTCCGACAGCGTGACACCAGAGCCCTTCAGCTTCGTTTTGCTGTACCACAGGTTGTCTCGGACAGTCACGTCAGCAAGCTTAATGAGAATCGGTCTGGGTTTTTTGGTGGAAGTGGCCCGACCCAACCTTTGACAGCGTTTGATATCAGCCGTATTGAAGTCCCGGAGATTAAGGTGCTGTGTGATGATTTCTACGGCAGTATCAGCAGTATTTTCATCCTTTGTCTCTTCAATACCGTGCAAGAGGAGGATCTTCCGTCGCCCGCGCATTTCTATACTATCTACAGTATAAGACAGTGCCTCCACCTGCTTCTGTAGTAGTTGTAGGGCCTGTGAGACAAAGGCTCTAAATGCAGAAAATTCCGTAGACAGATTGGCCACACTTGAAGGCGGACCAGGTGTTTTCGTGAGCTGGGCTTCAAATTCCTCCATCCTCTTGTTGAAGGTGTAGGTAAGGTCCTTGATTGTTGCTTGCATGGTGGTCATATTACTGCAGAAAGTGAAATGACCATAGAATCCGGCAGCTGGATGGTTCAGCAGATCATTTGCGACATGTAAGTCCACAAATAAGTTGTATATTTTTTTTAAAAATAAATAATTATACAGATCAAAAAACTACTCTACTTTTTTGGTTGCCTACCCACAAATTTTTTTTTTTTAAGGTAAGTCATATACTAAAACAGTGGATTATACTGTTCCTGGTTTTTCCGAAGTGTTGAAATGTATGATAAAGGACTGTGTGTAATAGTCGGGTAAAAATGGAGATACCAATGACTCTAACCAAATCCCCCTTCCCTCTAATTCTATAGGGGAGGACTGAAGGCAACGAACTTGTAACTGTCGAGTTGCAGGTGTCTGCTCATTTGCACTCCTATGTCATACATAATATATTGTATTCAAGAAAAAAAATTAGGGGAGCACAAAGTTTTAAATGCTACGAGCAGGGTATACAATAAATAGAAGTAGTCGGTAAATTACTTTTATTGCACTGTATTTACAAACAAGAAATAGCTGTATAACTCGTAAGTCGCACTAGAAATTCGTTTTGATGTTAATTTACTGTGTCGTAAAACATTACTGTCCCGTACTGCCAACACGCCAACCTTTTAACGGGCTATCGAAATTACTAGACTAATCCCGAGGATCCGATGGAATGTTCCAGACAGAACCAAGTACAATAAGAATCTACAGATTTCTATAATCTGTCGATATTCGACACTAGATGGCACGGCAAGTATCGGAATTAATACTAGATGGCGCTGTCCTCCAAACATAGCACAAGAACCACTCAATCCTATGGCGCAACAATACTATGATGATTTTATTTTTAATTGTCTTATATGTTCATTTCAGTGCAATCAAGTGTATATCATGTTTTCATAATTAACACAAAACAAACAAAAACTAGCCATAGCGTTTTTATATTAATTTTGAGCGACTTATGTAAATGTTTGTTACAGTTTATAATAGTATCGTTGAAGGACGGTATGTTCAACAACGCCAACGTGCTGTTCCGCACGCGGTTCGTGGACGGCATGTCGGCCGTGCAGCGCACCGTCAACTCCAGGCGATGAGACCACCCCCCCACCCCCCCGGGGCAGCTCATTAGATATTAGTCATCCACAAACACAAGTAAAGTGTTTAAAACGTTAAAAGCGCAATAAAATGCAATGTTTAGCATATGTATGAAACTAATATTTTTTTACTATTTCGTGTTCTATGATTTGCATGTATTATGTTGTATGTACGACTTAAGACGAGTGCAACCTGGTTGAAACGTTCAGGTCATTCAAAGTTCAGTTCCAGGTGTTACAAATTACGTGTTCGCGTTATTTACCGTACGTATACATAATATACAGGGTGTAAGCGAAGGGTTATCGAAAAAATACACGTTTTTTTAGATGTTAAAACTATTCAAAAGTTAATTGATCATAAAATAACAACTAGATTTAAAATTAACAGTAATTATATTATATAATTATATTATAGTAATTATTTTATCTGGGTCTACGCAATGTGAAGATATCTCGCGTATGTTTATCTACGTAAACTTTGTTCAGGCAATACAACATAGCCCTTTGGCCGGTAACCAGTTGAGGAGGTGGAAAAAACATACTAGTTACGAAGGAGTATACATGCAAGGGAGGAGGTATTGCTTCTTATTACTGAACCTAAGTACAGATACTTATGATTTAATTCTGTCCAGTTATAATTATCTATTTGTGCTAATGTCTAATAATCTCTGTTTTGATGTTTGTCTCGTGAAAGTGGTTGTGACGACTCCCCCATACAAAGAAACAGAAACATACTACAGCGCCGTCTAACGAAGACACCGAACGAACTACGGAGTAACTCCTGAAAGAGAATTGCTAATCCTGTATCGCGATATGAAGAATTCTCTCGCCGATTAGCTTATATACAACTTCCCAAAATCAACCGGGGCTGCGGCCAGCCAGGTACGATCACCTCGCCTGGTCGGAGGATCCTCCTTGTGTTGGAGGGACTTAACACCCGTTCTTCCACAGATACAAAAAAAGTATAAACAAGGAAACTATTAAAAATTAATTTCTTTTATGTAATCGTGGTTTCGTAAAAAGAAAAGATCATTTCCTCCTCCTTAATTGGTTACGAACCATCGGTTTTGATGGCGGCCGAATGGCAAAATAGTCTTCTTTTTTTGAACGAAAAAGTAAAATTTTACTTTAAACGTTCGATGATTCCAAATCAGCTGATTGCATAAATGTTAAATTGATTACCTTGCAGCTTAGAGCCGTACGTGGTAAGCACTTGGTGGTTTCTATTTTTATTAATGATCACTTTTCTCTCATCGATATCTCGAAAAAAAGTGAAATTTAAACACTAAAGTTATTACCAGAAAATGCTTTTGAGTTTTTGAACTCTGGATGTTGATTTGAATCCTGTATTTCAATTTTCGGTGTTACAGGGTGTAAGGTAAATAATTTAGTTTATTATGTTTGCTGTTTGATCTTTTCAAGTTATACCTATATGTTTAAATAGTATTAATAAACTGTATAGTATGGTCGTCAAGGAGGTGCTCGTTAGCTCAATACGTAAGACTACAGAATTGAAAATAACTAAGCAGTGCTGTGTACAGGGCAAGTTATGAGCAAACGCTCACAACTAATAGAAACGCGTGCAAATATTTTTGTATTCGCGTATATACTTTCGGCCGGAACGTACCTGTGTTTTGCAAGATATTCACTTGTGAAAAAGAATTCAGGTGTCAGAAGTAGTGATGTCATTATATCGATAAGTACAAAAACTTTAATTTTATACTAAGTGTTATTATATATCATTGAAGACACCCGTTTTAATCTAAGCTACTCAAACAGTCATACCTATAGGGTACACAAATATGAAAAACTATTCCGTCACTCACAAATACGATTTTCATAATTCCGAAAGGTTTCTAAATTCCTAATGTAACAACTCCGAGTGATCATTCATTCTATTTTTATAATTCTAAAATTTCAATATTCTTAACGTTTATAATTACTATGCTCAAAATACCGAGTTCCAATAGATCGAATAACAAAAAGTCCGACTAAATGATAATTAGAAACATCAGAAATTCGAATTCTTTCTTTTAAAAACAAAGACTTCGTTTTCTTTAAAATAAATTTCGTGAATTTTAATAATTATAGTGCTGAGGTATGTATTATGAAATTCGGACTTTTGAAAATCGGGACATCGAAATTCGGTATAAAATATTTCGGAGTTCCCATTCCTACATGGTGCTCCATAATTGAAATGATTGGAAATCCGATATAAAAATATATCTATCTAACGATATTATATTCGTTGAGTGCTAACTCTGACGAAACTAAGACAGCGCGCAGTGATTGTAATGTCAATACATCACGTCCCTAAAGTATTTTGTTTCAATGAAAAAATGATTTGTAAAAATGTTTGGAGTATAATATTAGTTAAGTACTGATAGTATTGTAGTTTACTGATAGTTTGTATTAATAGTTTTGTTTTTGTCCGTGTGGTGACGGATTAATGTCCGTGTAGTGACGGATTAAGGATACGGAGTGTCACCACCCCTATTCATCCCGCGGGTGTCGTAAGAGACGACTGCAAAGAGAAGGAAAACTTGAAACAAACCCTATACCAACCAGGTATAGCAGGCCAAAACCTCCTTTCTAAGGCCTATGTCCAGCATTTGACTGTTAAAGGCTATTGATGATGATATTTTTAGTATTTACTTTTGAACTTTGCGAAGGGAAACCAGTAGATATAGTTATAAATATTGTTATAAATTTACTTGAAAATGTACTGTTTCTTTTACAGGCCTAAATAAAAGTAATTGTTTGTTAATGTTCAGTTACACATATCAGATGAAGGTCTAGGTACTTAGATTATGCGACAGCAAACTCGACTTTATGTAATGGTGATAAAGTTTACATTTTATTACAACTGAAGATCAATGGTGGTCAATGTCGACCATAACTGTTTACTCATTAGGTTTCAGTTTTAAAAAAGGTGGGGTAATTCGGTTGTATTTTTTGTTTATTATCTCAGAAAGCCGCCATTTATCACCCCTGAGGGTGCCAAATTAAGGAACAAAGAATAAATACAGTTTAATACAATACATCATAATGTAAGCATTTAATTCAGTGGTAAATTCTTAAAAGTTTGAAGGTCCTTTCCGTGTTATCTTAAAATTGGTTTTACATTGTTTAAATAAAGTAGATCGCACGTCTTCTACCATACATTTGGTATTGCTAATTTCACGCACATGATATAGACTTTAAAAGTGCTCGAGTTTGCCACTCATTGTGAGTTGACCCTTAAAGTAGTAGATGAACTTTTAATAAATCTAAGATAAATGATTAATCTCCTTGTGCATGTATTTTGTGTCTCAGAAATATCTACATAAGTGTGGTAAGATCTCATCTGATCGTTGTCGGTGAGATGGGTTTTAGCAGTAGGTACTGTATAAAAATAAATAATTTGTAATACTGTTATTAGTAAATAAATGTACAACATCTATAATTATATTGTTTTATTTCTACTATTTGTTGAAAGCCCAAGCTAAGGGAAGTCATTCATTCATTTTCATTTTAAAAAGCAACTCCCTGTACTAGGAATGTATCCTATGTCACGGGGACTTTACAAACATTCATGATACGTACGCATGATCACACACTTAAACCACTACGCCATTCGTGTAGTCAATATATAGTCAATATGTAGTATAATATATAGTCAACAATTTAATCTTACCGTGGGACAGCCATGTTTCGACCGAAATTGAAAACCGAAACCCGTAAACAGAAAACCGGGGTTAAGAGGTCTTAATGAAAGACCTCTTTTGATGAAAGACCGCTTTTAACGAGTGACTGAGGTAACACTAAGTTATAGTACAAAAAAAAAGATATTACAGCATGTAATAAAAATAAATCAGAACGTACGACCTTCAAACAAACAAAAACTCACAAGTAAAGAGAGTATTCTGGTTAGATATAAGACAGTAATATTCTGGTAAAAATTAAGATACTAATGACCCCCCTTTCCCCAAATTGTAAGGGGGAAGATTGAAAGGGCGGCAACGCACTTGTGTCTCTTGCAGGTAGTTATGGACGGCACTTGTTCTTTTCAAGTGAAAACTTTTTCAGACGCGTTGGGCATTTTTGAACAACAGACAGAAAGATGTGTTTTTTGAGATGGGGAAAAAACCATTGGACTCGCGATACTGTTACCGTTACCGACACCTCTGTATATAAGTATCTACATTATGGGCCTCGTTTACACGTGAGTTGAGTTTGTGCTGAAATACATGGATATAACTATGTATAATATAAACATACTCGTATATTGTGGAAATACGTACAACATATATATATATATATATATATTCATGTCGGAACTTTTCGAATCGAAAAAAATCGTTCAATAAGCTCGCCTCCTTTGTTTCCTGCTTTTAAAATAATTGTTTTTTGAATCCATATGCCCCAAAATCCTAAATATCGTTCAGTGAAACACATATCACGCTAAAAATTGTAAACAATAGCAACATTAGGACGTCATAACCCACATCTGTACCCCTTTATAATGTTCTAATGATCTGTTCATTACCATAAAATGTGGCAAACGGCCCCGCGACAGCTGGCCACCCCGTCCTATACGGCAAGGGACACGGCGTGGACCCGACCGGGTTATTTACGACTTGGTCGGACTGTTGGCATCATTTGTTTTATTATTGCCACTGCATGAGCTACTACGAATCAACATTTCATACTAGCCTTTTTCCCGCATTTCATGTTTATGGTCACTTTTGCCCTCCTTAGGGGTAGGCATTGGCAGTTTTTCACTCCCAGGTTTACGTCTATGGATCGTTAAATGATTTAAAAAAGCCTATACCAATTTTCAAGTATCTATTAAATTCTAGGTCTAGGACGGCAATAAGCTGATGATGGTGATGTGTATTCTATTAAATACAAAAAAATATATATTCAACTGATATTGCCAAATAGGGCATTTGGTTGTTTCCAAGTATATTATGTATTGATTTACAAAAAAAGTATATGAGAATTTTGTAAGTCAATCT